ATATTATTATTTTTATATATATATATATATATATATATATATATATATATATTGTTTCTTTCAGTTCTGTATTATATATTAGACGTGATACTTGCGTGTGATACTTGCGTGTGATACTTGCGGTAACGATCGACTTTTGGAAAATGCGAATTCTGATCAAAATGTAAAATATGTAATAGTATTGACAAACATTTTAATTATTTACAAATGTCAAATTTTAATTGATGACAATTTAATTTTTTTTTAAATTACTAGAACATTACATTGCGCGCAGTATCCCCTCGCGTGCAAATATAAAACAAAACACAATGAGAAAATACATTAAAATACAATTCAAAATTTACGTTTTATCATATTTTATTAAATGACAGTTATTAACCATAAAAATGCATAAAATATACATTTTAACATTAATAACGAAGCAAAAGATATGCGAACGTCTAAACAATAAAACCGCGAACAATAAAATCTTGCAATAATTTGGTATAAAATTAAATTAATTTTGCAATCATATGTGAATATTGGTGAAATTATATATTCTACAAAATCTAAATAAAAAACAAAAAAAGGAGCGGGCGACTCGGAGCGTCACAAAGTAATGGTGACATTATAATTATTATTATATTTCTTATTGATATAGTTAGAACATATATATCTTTGATATACAATATATCTTTGTTATTTTAAAAGAATAAATGACGCCCGTAATACATGCTTATGTGTCCAGTTTAATAAAATTACTTAGTGCGTTTTTCTATCACGAAATCTATCAAAATGTTTTTATGCATTTAATATATCCTATATTCTTAAAAATCGTTAAAATTATTTTTGCACGCAAACGAATAACAAATAATGTCTAGTACAAAACAAATTAAAAATTGTTGACTCACGCGCGTTTTGCAATTTTTCTTTCTCTGGATAACTCATTAATACATATGGACAGTGTCTTTATCATTATTCTTCGAATGAGTAGCTTTCCGGCAAACAATGATGCTGGCGGCAATAATAATCCTCATCATTTTCATTGTGACACCACGTTCCATCCGGAAAATATGGGTTGATATCATAGTCGATCATTTTGAATCGCGGTGTGTAATAAGTAGGATAGTCCTCTCGTTTACAATGTACAGAACAGGCTACCCACGGTTTATCAACTTCATGGGGAGCCTGCCATCCCGCCTTCGCTTCCAGTTCGAATATGGTACGGCTGAATTCGGTGCATTTCATAGTCGTGAACTCGGTGATTGTTGTACGTTTTTCACTACAGAGTGAAGAATCATCGCACAAAACCACGTCGTATATGGTCCAATGCAATTCGCTGTTATGTGTGTCTCATGTTTGCAAAAACGTCGTTTGACTAATGCGCCTTTAGATTTTTTCAAACAACCGCTTTTACAGGTGTCTTCTTTCCATTCACTCCAGTTATCGTCTACACAATACTTAAAAATGTATGGCGGCTCGATAACTGGTACGCATTTTTCTCCGCGACATTCCTTCCCGAGAGCGCAATAAGTTCCTAAAAAATTCGATAAATTTAGCACTGTAGTATGTAGTCAAAATGAATGACGTACCTGCTAGCGCCGGTCCCGTGAAATAATATGTATTCTTGTGAGGAGTTTCGCATTGTAAACTTTTACATATATCATGTAACGTGACTACGTTCGCATTTTTGTTGCGCAAGAGTAATTCGCATTGTGCTTTGGCAGTCCATTCTCTTCCAGGTAAATTGTGATAACTCCGATTTTTAAATATATATGTGTCATCTTCAAGTCTGACATGATCTCGAAGAAGACACGAATATGCTAAATATAACTTGACTCCCGTCCAGTGTAGCCATCTCATTTCCTTATAACTGTGCTCGGACCATGATATCTGACTTTCGTTGGACGCGTAAGGTGTCATTATGTATTCGTATTTGTCTCCCAAATTTTCTGAATCGTGTGTCAATCCTAAGCTGTTGAACAGATAAATTATTAATCATGAAAATGTGCTTTACTTTGCATTATTTTTAATTGAAATATTTTCTAATATTATATCATTTATTCATAGTTAATATACTGAACAATTAAAGAATCAACGTTCTTAGAAAAATTTCTTTACTTGTTGACTTTAAACTGTTCGATTAAATAAATTCTAATTTAAAATAAAATTTTTATTTATTTTATGCATATAGTATATAGAAAGTTACATATAAACCAGTATATATACACTTACACATGAGCAATCTCATGGACAGCAACAGAAGATGATGTTTTAATTATAGAAGATATGATTTCAGATGTAGCACGGAATTCTGCAATCGCGCATGAAGCAGTCCTATTGCATATGTTCCTGGGATTGGATATTCCCAGAACTTTATAAAGATCTATTCCGGTTAGACAAAGGCTAATGTCCCAGTGACGTGGATCATCATCTCGTGGAGGATTGTAAGTTTTCGCGTAATTGCAGAACATACTCAGCATTTTTTTATATTCTTTGTCGAGAACTGGCAAATTTATCGGTTGATTTTCCATAATCTCCAAATATTTCAACGAAATATCGACAGAGACACCTAAACTCGGATGATGGAACATAGCCTGAATATGATTCACATACGCTAATATTATATAGCGTATTTTTTCCTTATCGTTGTCCAGAAGAGGCATGAATGTGCGATATGCTGCTTCGTCGAAGAAAACTGCCATTTCTATGGTTATCTCTCCATGCGTACTTCGTACGCGACGTCGCTTTGGTTTAAAGTTGTTCCAATGATTTAGATTTAAATCACTAAAATATTGCACTGACGTTTCAATAAGATGAGGTTGGCCAAATGAAAGATTAATTTGTTCTTTAACGCAAAAATCATCGATTAAGGACGGAGGCGCAAAGTCGTTCCGCAAAGGCCGTATCTCTAATGTGACGTTTTTCACAAAGATAAATCCTTCCTATTTTTAAAAAGATATATTTGTGTTTTGCGTGACGTGCTTATATATATTACAGAGACAAATAAATATTAGAATTAAAAATAGAACATTTTTCAAACAAATTTCATATAACATTTTTCATACGATCGACTTATTTTTCTACTGACCAATCCATTTTTTTGACAAAAGCTGACGGCCGCAAAACTGTCATGATTTTCATGAAAATAGAAACAAGAATTCGATGCTTTATACTGCGACAACTTTTCTGTGACGTCTTTTGCATTATATTTCCATAGTTCAAACGCAGACAATACAGTCTGATCGTTTCTACGAAGATTCAGCTGAATCAAATTTCCGAAAACTTTCAGGGTTAATGTTAATGACTGCAAATTGGATGACAATTAAGAAAAAATAAGATAATACTCAAATAACGCTGTTGTTGAGCGTTGAGCGATAAATAAGATTCTACAGTAAAATGAGCATACCTCGTTCGCGTCTATCGGGTTCCATGCCGGTAGCAATATTATTTCTCTATCGTGCGAGATAAACGCGTATGTATTATATAATAAAATTATTAATACCAATTTCAGTATAAGAAACATGTTTTGTTTACAATTTTAAATACTTGAAAATATTTCGTTTAAACACTTTTATATATTATAAATTTTTATGTACATACGTTATATCTTCCTTTTATATTTGTTACATCTTAAATAATCGTGTGTAAAATACGTACTGTCGTCTGCGTTTTGGAATATTATGTGACATTGTATTGTATTTATTTTCTATGTTTATATCTAGAATATACAAGGTACTCTAAAATTTATATCTAGAATATACGAGGTACTCTAAAATTTTGACAAAGCGCTCGTGTGCAGGTTGAGCGGACTAAATTGAGTCGAAAAGTTTTCTACTATTTTTCAATATACAAGGTGTTCCATTTTAAAAGACCCATTGGAACATCTTTTTAAAAAAGCGTTTTAGAGAAAAATGTTTTAAACAAAAGTTGTAGGGTTCAGAGGGGGACATCCGATGGTGACATTGGTTTAACTTGAGGTGTACGTGCCAAGGTCATATAGAGGTCAACTTTGTTTTTTTTACATAGAATACCCTATTTTATTTCAAAATCTAATAGCTGGTGTCAAGAGTTTTTCAAAACACTATAATGAAGTTATTTTTCATTAAATACTTTTCGAGTATTTATAAAAAAAAAAGTATACAGTTGTATGTTGCAAATTACATATTTTTTCTTAAAAGCAACTATGTGTTTTCTTTATACCAATTGATTTGTCTCATTATTTTGTGCATAAAAGTATTAAGGTAAGATTCTCGAAAACTGAATGTTTTACAAGATATTTTGTATTTTATGTCAAAATACTGTAACTTATAAACCTCATAACTCGAAAAGTACTGAATAAAAAATAACTTTATTTTATAGTATTTTGAAAAACTCTTGACACCAGCTATTAGATTCTGGAATAAAAAATAGAGTGTTCCATTTAAAAAAATAATGTTAACCTCCATATGACCTTGGCACGTACACCCTATGTTAAACCAATGTCACCATCGGATGTCCCCTTCTGAACCCTACAATTTTTGTTTAAAACGTTTTTCTCTAAAACGTTTTTCTAAAAAGATATTCCAATGGGTCTTTTAAAATGAGATATTCTGTATATGCTATATGCTTACATATATATTTTTTTTTATTTTATTTTTATATTATATATGTATTTGATATGTAATACTTGCGATAACAGTGGAATTTTGGAAAATGCGATTTTTGACCAGTACGTAAAATATATAATATTATTGGCAAACATTTTAATTATTCACGAACATCAAATTTTCATTTACAATAGTTTAATTTTTTTAAGAGTAACTAGAACATTTTTTACATTGCGAGCACTATCAAGTAAACGATTCCAAATAATTAATGATACGCATTTGGCACCATAAAGACTCGTCTTAATATATGCATACATACTATTCATTTTTAATTTTTTTATTTCGTTTAATATTGATTTTTATTGCTCAGCTGATTTTGTCTTTTAATCATTATGTTATTATTCAGATTTTATAAACAAAACATTGATTTTTCTGTAAACCAAATTTTTCAAATATTTGTTGAAACAGTTTTTTAATTATTTTAATAAATTTGATAGGAGCGTAAAGAGCCAACAGCCAGATATTCGTGCGAAGGTTATCGTGTATTAATTTATAACCATTGAACAATACATTAAAAAACAAACGTTTCAGCCTGTCATCAGGCCTTTATCAATGTTATTACAAAATTCAATAAATACGCAACGCAAAAATTAAATACAAAAAACGAAGTAATATTGACATAATAAACTGAAGAGTAGTTAAACACATTGAGGTTTCAACCATCACATTATATGGTTCTAAGTTTTTTCTCCTACCTCGTTCCATCTTGTGTGGACGAGCTTTCTACTATGTTTAACACAATTTAATGTGGTTTTAACTACTCTTCAGTTTATTATGTCAATATTACTTCGTTTTTTGTATTTAATTTTTGCGTTGCGTATTTATTGAATTTTGTAATAACATTGATAAAGGCCTGATGACAGGCTGAAACGTTTGTTTTTTAATGTATTGTTCAATGGTTATAAATTAATACACGATAACCTTCGCACGAATATCTGGCTGTTGGCTCTTTACGCTCCTATCAAATTTATTGATTTTAACAATCATCAGAGCCTGATACATCTATAATTTTTAATTATTTTATTTTATAGTAAATATTTCATTTTCAATATTTAATCTTTATTCTTAATCCTAATATTTTCCCCATTGCAATTATTTAACGTTATGTGACAACAAACGAGCGATGACGTCGCCTTCGTTGCCGATAAAGAGATAGAAATAGTATATCTGCTCTTTTTTAACGTCCGAAGCTAGTCAAAGTCCGGAGCTTACATGTACGTGATTTGCGCATGTGTATGGTATTCCCTCTGCGCCTCCACTCATGTTGTTTGCGTCTCTAATCTGGCGTCCACTGGTGTCTCTGATTGCAATATAGGTAGTGATAGGTAGTAAAGACTTGACGTGAGATGTTCCGAATTCTAATAATTCTTTCACTGTAAATAAGGAAGCATACCAATCCTAAAGTCAGTGCTCGTAAGGAAATTGTATTACTTAAATCGGCTATATATACACATATATATGCAAGAATATTCATATTGCGTTTTAAAAAAGATAACCTAACTTGTGTATGTTATGTATATATAATTAAAATTCTTATTTACATAGATCAAAGTTTAGTCAGATTTTATTGACAATTCTTTAGTACACATTTTAGTTTTTGTTCATAATGAACTTACCCCGAGTATTGATTGTTAGTACAAAGGAAGGGAAGGCTAAAGAAATTGCAGAAAGTAAGTACAAATATTTTTATCATATATGTAAAATTCATACCTTTTGCACAATTTTTAACTAACTTAACTTTTATTGTTTGGATGTATTGTCACCTACTTTAGTAATATATATTATATTATTATTATTATTTTGTATGTGTCTTGTATAGACATAGGTGCAGAACGTTTATCCGAAGAAGGTGATATTGTAAATTACTTATGGAACATTGACAATAAGTATTATACATCACAGGTTCTAATATGTATCACGGAAAGCATATCTCAGAAATTTTTGGTGGAAGGAATCAACGCATTGATCATATATCATGATCCACAAGCAGTAAGACATATAATTGCAACTGAAAATAATAGCAATTGAATTAATGTCTTGATGGCAATTGATTTCTGTAGGACAAAGTGGATCAAGAACTAGAATATTTGGCATCCTTGATCACTTCATTAACAACAGCAGAGATACTTTTATTTTCCTGTAATGCAATATCTGATGTGCTTCTTCGTGATAAAGGTTGGTTTATATAGTGATGGAAAATATTGGTATTGATTATAATGTGTAAATTTGCTGTGATTTAATTGCAAATATTTTTACATATTTCAGTTTTAAATTGGTGTTTAAGCCATAAGTTTGAACTGGTTGAATTAGAACAAACAGGAAATACAGAACCTGATCCAGAAGGTAACAAATATGGCATTGAAAGGATAGTAGAAGCTCTACATGCTCACACGTGGCCAAATATTGTACTTAAAGGTTGTATATCAAACTTCTGTTAAAATAGATATTTATTTTTCTTTTTACGTATAGAAAGGCTAAAGTATGTTTTATTATAGATAAACCAAGTACAGCAGAAACATTAGAAGTAAATGATATTGGAGAGCAGTTCGAAAATATTCAATTAACCCGTGATACTTCGGAAAGACTACAAATGCAAGATATGCTTGGTTGGTACTAATTGTGTACCAAATAAAGACAAATTTATATAAACGTTATTATATATTTTATCGAAATTTATTTTTTTTTTTTTTAGTAAAGCATCATGGATAGTGAAAATGCAGATTTTGGAGAGTTATTTGGTCAATTCATGGCTATGAAGGAACATGCAGCATCTTTACCAACAAATGAGAGACGTATAATGGCAGAACAAGTAGTTACTGCCTTTTGGAAAGCTATGGGTGGTGATCTTCTAGAAATTGAGGATTAAACTTGACCCAAGTATCAGTATATTGTTTAAATTAACTATAAATTACTTAGATTCATTTTTGAATTTATTTGAGATGTACTAGCAAAATTTTAAGATAAAATACAATTTTAATATAAAGATCTATCAGAACGATGTATGTATTAAGAATGAACGATGGAAAAAAATATATTGTTAAAAAGAATTCTGTATAACGTAAATGTTCATGTTTCATAAGAATAAGATAAGTAAATTTTTATATATTATGTATACGCATCTCTCTCAGCTATAAAATATATATAAAAATATAACGTCATGACTGATGTATGTATTAATATTGTTTGATGTTTGGTGTTTGATATTTGATGCAGTAGCTGTAATTTTCCCAATAAAGAAACTCACTTGCTTTTGTCTAATTATGTTTTCCTAATGATTCTTATATACAAAAATGCATCACATTAGCGTGATTTACCGAGATTTTTGTTACGTGTAAATTATAATACATAGAAATTTCAATAAATTTTGCAATTAAAGCGGTTCTCAAAATTATTATAATGTTTTAAATTTTATTGTAAGCATTTCCATAGGGATTAAATTTATGTAATACCGAAAACTACTCGATTTTACTTCCCAAGTTCTATTTTATATTACGTGTTTATTCAATTCAAGAATGAACTGGACCTTCCTCTTCTCTCCTGTCATCAATCTGTTCTCTTTTATGTGTGCTATATTATATTTTATATATTTTATATTAGAATAAAAAAGATAAGCGTTATAGAGAAATTAAAAATAAGGAAAGGTATAGAAAATGCAATTATAAGAAGCAGACATTTTGCCGATCAGCTGATCAGCTGTGCGCAGTATAGACTGGTGCTGAACAGCTCTTAATATATACATGTGGATTTTTTTAACACTTTGTAAAAACGGATTATATTCGTTATTTATATTGTATATTATCTATAGGCCATAAATAATCCTATAACAAAAAGAATGATTTTTTTTAAGTTAATTCGTCCATACAGCCAGTGCACAAATCATAAGTCTGCTAACCTGATTAGAAAAGAGTTTGTAGATTATTTTACAAAGGATTTAAAACACAATGTTATTCGTTCCAGTCCTGTATCACCAATTACTGATCATTCACTCGCATTTGTCAACGCTGGCATGAATCAGGTACGTTCCACCTGCGTTTTACCTGTATTTGACAAGTGTCGATAAACATTGCTTACTTTGTAACATCTTTAGTTCAAAGGAATTTTCTTAAATCACCACGAGCCACCTGCGATGAAAGTTGTGAATTCACAAAAGTGTATCAGAGTCGGCGGTAAACACAACGATTTAAGTGTCGTTGGTAATGATAGTTACCATCACACATTCTTTGAAATGCTAGGCAACTGGTCTTTCGGGGATTATTTTAAGGTATGATATAGATATGAGAAGATATCTTATATTGTTTAATACCTCATATTGTTTGTACAATCAAATTTCTGTTTTTAGGAAGAAGCTTGCTCCTACGCTTGGAATCTTTTAACAAATGTGTATGGTATACCCAAAGAATATCTGTATGTAACATACTTTGGTGGTAATGAGGAATTGGGCATGGGACCAGATATGGAGTGCAAGGATATTTGGTTGAGACTCGGTCTTCCAGAATGCAGAGTTCTACCTTTCGGCATGCGAGAGAATTTCTGGGAAATGGGTATGTCAGGTCCCTGTGGACCCTGCACAGAAATACACGTAGACTACATGAAACGACCTGCCAATCAAGCCGCACGAGTAAATAAAGGATATGCTGATCTTATGGAGTTATGGAATATAGTTTTTATACAATATGAGAGGTAAGTTGTTAATCTGTGTATTGAATGTATGAGATATCTACCTTAAATTCTGTAAATCATGCAATAATATGTTTTTGCATATATTTTATTGCCAACTTTTGTTGCCTTCCATATCAATTATGAACTGAACAGTTGTTTTCTTTAAGATTTTTTTTCTGTGTAACGTCACAAAGTTTAATGAATATTAGCAGCTGAAGTAAAATTGCATAGTCTATTCAATGTCATAATATTTTATGTTAGGCTTGCAAATGGATGTATAGTACCTTTACCAAAACATCATGTTGATACAGGCATGGGACTTGAACGATTAGTTACCTTATTACAAGGGAAAAAATCAAATTATGATACAGATCTTTTCCAACCGTTATTCAATGCGATACAAAAGCTATCAAATGCACCGGAATATAAAGGAACATTTGGCAATAATGATACAGGCCAGATTGATTATGGCTACAGAATCCTAGCAGATCATGTGAGAATGGTTACTGTTGCGCTGGCTGATAACATGCTACCTGAGCAACAGTATGTTTTCTACAATTTTATATACTGTATTATCATATGATATAATATTGTACTCTAAATTGTATTATAAATTAATAAAAGAATGTATTTGCAGTCCAAAACTACGAAGGGTATTACGAAGTGCGATAGACATAGGAGAGAAAATATTCAGGAAAAGTGGCATAGTTGCCAAGCTTACCTGTAATGTGACTGATAACTTAGGTGAAGCTTATCCAGAATTGTACAATAATCTGAAACAGGTAATATAAGATAAAATTAGTTTTGTTAAGATATTTTTATATTTCAATGTTGATGGTTACAATTTGTTAGGTACAAAGGATAATAGACTTTGAAGAAGATTTATTAAAGAGATTGAGGAATACTTCTGGAAAAATGTGGAATAATATGGTTAAAATTCGTCCAGAATTAGCATCGATTACCGATTGGATGGCTCCTGGTTTAGTCGACGGCTATAAAGATCTGCAATCCATGTTGAAAGACTTGTAAGAAGTTTACAATATAAGAAAATTTTCAACAGACATTTTTCTGCGTTTTATGTGTTGCATTAATAATTCACAATTAATTACAGGCGTAAAACCAATGTGTTATCCGGAACCATTGCATTTAAGCTGTATGATACGTACGGCCTTAATTCTGAAACTATAGCGGAGCTAGCACAGATTGAATCATTATATTTCGATGAAGCTGGCTTTGAAAAGGAACTTGATAATCGTAGATATCAATCAAGAATTGGATTAGATAAACGTACCATACTTACCAAGGAATCTTTGAGGATACTGGAAGAAAATCATGTACCTAAAACGAATGATTCATTCAAGTACAATTATACGTATGATGAAAGCAGCTATGAATTTCCAACACTTAATAGTAAACTTCTCGGCATCATTATTAATGGTAATGTTAAAGTAAATCTTATATTTCTACGAAGATATAGCTATATATATATATAATTGTAAGACTAAATATTTATTTCGTGTATTGTAGGAAACTTAGTCACAAGCAAAAATTGTTCCGAAATTACAACTAATAATAGAATAGCTATAAACATAGACGAGATATTAAATAGTACAGATGAGATTGGTATTATATTGGATAAGACCGTATGTTATTCACTAGAAGGTGGTCAAGTTTCCGACAAAGGAAACATTCGTATTAAGAATTTACTTTTTAACATAAACAATGTCAGAAAGGTAAATGGCTATGTAATTCATTTGGGACATTTTGCCAAAACAGATGCACCGTAAGTACTTTTCATGTTTCTACATTGAGATTGTTGAATAAAGCTTCAATTGGAATTATACACAAAAATTCGACTATCGTACAAATTTTATCATAATCTATACATGTGGAATTATATATTTTTAGCACATCAGAGCTGCAGTTACAAATGGAAGATGATTGTTTAGTTAATATAGAGCCGAATATTCGTGTTGGAGCTATGAAACATCATACAGCAGCACACTTATTGAATGCAGTCGTGAAACATGTTATGCAAGTTGCTCATCAACGTGGTTGTGCAGTCGATATGGACAGTTTAAAATTACAGTTCAATTCATTTGGTGAACAACTTACATCAAAACAAATGAAGATAATAGAAGATTGCATTAATAACAACATAGAATCTCGTGCCGCAGTAACTGTGCAAACGTTAAATTCGCTGGAATTGTTAAAACAAAACGACATTACACTGCTCCCTGGAGAAATATATCCTTACACTGGTATTAGAGTCATAGAAATAAACACTGACGATCTGAAAGCGAAGTGAGTCAAAGTTCATAATTTAATATTATAGAATATTCTGAACTCGTATTAATATCTATTTTGTATGTTTAGAGAAGCATGTTGCGGTACGCATGTTCATAATACAGGTGTATTGCAATACTTTTGCTTTTTGGCGTACACCTCAAAGGGAGCCACGAAGCGCACTGTTAAAGCTGTTGTTGGCGACAGAGCTTTACGTATGAAAGAAGCCGGTGAACGAATATGGAAGAGAATTGTGGAGCTAGAAGCTACAAGTGACAAGTTTACATATGAACTATTTAACGCAGAAATAAATCGAATAAAACAGGAAATCAATGATGAAAATATACTATTACCGTACTTGATTAAGGAGAAATGCTTGACACATCTAGAAAAATTGAGCAAAACAGTGTGGTTACGCGAGAAAGAAAACGAAAAGTATGTAATATTACATTCTCATTATTTGTATGAATCTTCTTATTTGTAATTAACTCTTATCAATTTTATAGAGCTTGTATAATTCGTGAAATCAGTAATGCCGCTGATTCGTCATCCCGTTGTCTAGTGCATTGTCTGAAGAAGAATCCTACACATTTGTCACTGCACGAAATCGTATCCTTCTTTTCTGAAACGCCAATCTTAATTCTATCTCATATCAATGGATCTGTGAAAGCGAGATGTTCTGTACCACAGGTATTGTTTTATTTATACATTTAAATGAATAAATATATAAGTATATAATAAATCATTAATATTGTAGGAAACGATTTCTAATACATTCAATGCACAGACGTGGATGGATATTGTCCTACAAGTGTTTAATGCAGAACATAGACCTGTTAAGGGATTCAACCCAATGTTAGTGGCAAGTATGAAGTCTACACAAGTATCACAGAATGATTTTCAGATATATATGGAAAAAGCTATTATGCAGGCTACTAGATTTGCGTCTGTGCATTTACAAAAAACGGAACCTATTAATTATAAGAATCAATGAATGAATGAATGAACTTGTCACATAATCTTATGATTGACATTAGAAAAATGCGGCTGTAATAAATTCATATTTATAATGGATTATTTTCTTTTTACTCTATCTCTTTCGTTCAAGTGAACATATATGCTAGGCAATATAGTATTTAAATAATATAAATCAACTTTTATTTATACATTTCCACGTATATAAATAATTTGATTAACAATATATAAATTTTAATTACATTTAAATTTAAATTAGGCTTCAATTATGACTTGGATTGTATATGTTTCGTATAAAATTGCTTTAGTGCTGACCATTGTGCTATATGGAGCAATATATGTGGCCTCTTCATTTGCATATGATTTACTGCTTCTTCAGGCGTCCAATTATTTTTCTAGAACAAAGAAGAAAAGAACATTTTACTGCCAATGGCTTAAAAACTTTTCAATTTTACATTTAAATCACATCAAATGATCTCACTATTATTAAGTAACATGCGACCAATGTTGCACTTCTTGTTCTTCCGGCTTTACAATGAACATAAACCGTGCCAGGATTATTCTTATCACCAACAAAACCCGATTCACCTAGTTTTTTAGTTGATACATTGCGGAATTTATTAATAAAGTTCACACCATTCTGCAATTTTTCTTGTGAAGGTGCTTGAAAAATATCCGTTGTAGACAATTGCAGAAAGTCTATGTTATGCATCCGCCACTCCTAAGGAAGGAAAAGAATATTATTACATGTGTGATTACTTTACACTAACTTACCGCGTCGCTTTTATTTTCAAAATTTAAATTTTACTACTATTACCTTCTCTGTATTAGATAATAAATACAGTTCATAGTCTTCATTCATGGATACAACAGCTTTAACATTCTCATCCTCAATTAACTAAAATAGAAAAAAAAACAACTGTAAGATGTGAACAGTACGTAATAATTTTATTTGAACAATTGCATTATAGTTTAATAGCTGCTACACACGAAGTTATATTTATCCAAATGATTGATACATGATTGAGACGCAATTAATATATGATCAGAGTATGATGACTTTCAATTTATTACATATGTACATATGTGTCATATATAAAGCATTATATATGAAATGTTTTTATAAATCTATATATAAAAAAGATGTTTATAAATCTGACATTTATATAAAGAAAACATATAAATACATATAAATAAATAGATAAAGATAAAGTAGTCATACATGTAAAAATAATATTGTCATTAAAATTGGATTTTAGAAGCTTAAATTTCAATTCTTTCTCTTCAATTTTTGTTAAAAAGCCAACACGTTTGTTAAATTTTCTAATATAAATTCTAGCAAAATTATGTAAAGTATTTCATACGCGAATACACGTTGATTAAATTTTGTTTTATTTTTGCATAGCACAATATTCGACTTGGAATAAAAAATTAAACAAAAAATAAAAATTATGAAACTAGTGTGCAAATTACACATAAAAACATACCTGTTTTGTCATCCGCCGAAATGGCAAGGCACCCAATATAACAGTTTCGTCTATTCTGTCATACCAATTTCGAGTCGTGATCTTTTCCATAACGACATTGTAAAACAAGGATGGATAAAATGTTATCCTCGCAAACATTTTTGCTACAAATTAATTTCAAGAAATATTGTATTAGTTCGAATAATAATTTAGATGTTTTAAGGCGTTTAAAAATCGTAGTAAAATGTGCGCATGTTTCACCTTTCAAATTTCCGATCAAGTATCTACAACGATAAATTCGATTTCTAAAATTAAATCTTATTTAATGTTTCCGTTATTTTATTTCCGATATAATATATTTGTGTATAACTTGTTTTGAAAACGTTACCACTGGAAGAAACGGAAGGAATGCCTTTCACAGCAGAAGTGAACGAGCAAATTCGTAAGCGACCTTTTTCTACTCAAGTGGAAAGAGAAACATAACTGGATTTCAAGATGATGGTGGGGAAAATCGTCGACGTAATCAGTGTTGTAACCTATATATATATATATATAAAATGTTTCTTTTTTACTTAAAATATGTAAGTAATGTAAATTTTTTCATACAATATAACAATATTTAATAATATATAAAAATCTGCCGGTCAGAGGTTACAATAATTGATTACGTTGACGATTTTTCACCATCATATATATATAAAATTATAATCTTGACCAAATTTTTAAGTTTAAAAATGTCAAGATTATAATTTTTTTTAAGCGCAAATTTTCTAAGTATTCAAGTTCCCATATAATCAGGATTATTCAAATATAAGATAGCATATAACATTTTAAAACTTATATTTTTCAATTAAAGACTTTTATATAAATTAATTTATAACAAATATGTTTATACAGTTATTAGCATCATCAAGCTATATCAAGGTTGCATTGTGACGTTTCTAGCAAATCTAAATCTAAGCAGTAAGATCCGAACTCCCCTTTTCTGAATAAGCTAACAAAGTAATCTGCTGCAAAATGGAAATCTGGTTTGACATCTAATCGCCCATCGTAGCCTTTTACTTTCCTGACTTTTTTCAGCTTTGCAGCAATAAACGTGAGTACGTACATTATGTCATCATTTGGTTCTAGCATACCTAGTTTTTCTACATAATCAAATCGGCTGTTTTTATTTAGCCAAAAAAGTAGATAATTTGCAAGTGCATGCGATCCTATTACATGATCTTGCAGACATCCTACTAAAGCCAGTTTCATGCCTGCATGAATGTCTTTAATAGAAGGAGCTAAAATACCCGGTGTATCAATCAGATACACTAATGGATCTTCTGATATTTTATGTGTGTCAATACTGATCTTGTGATACCAGCTGTATCGCCAACAGGAGTGCCTTTTCCCAAGCGAAGATAATTACTTCTTAATCGATTAATCAGAGAGGACTTTCCAACATTGGGCACACCAATAACCATAATGGAGTAAGACTCTTGCTCTATTCTGTTGTAACGACTTGAACTTGATATTAAATTTGTGGCTAAAGGTAAGATCTTCTTCATACCTTTGCATTTTTGATCTTTAAGATTTGTAAAGATTACATTGGATAGCCCTTCTCTTTTCAACTTAGAGACTATACTGTCTGAATATTTTGTATCAATCAGATCTTTCTTGCTTAATACAAGTATATGTGGTTTCAAGCCCAACAGAGTCCGGCTAAAATCCGCATAACGTCCAGAAATCGGTACTCTTGCATCATGAACCTCTAGGATGCAATCGATATTTTTCAGTCGCTGTTGCATCTGTTTCAAACCCTTTGTCATATGGCCAGGGAACCACCGCACTACACCATCGTAAACAAACTTTTTTCGCATATTAGCAACTACTATACCTCCAGTGTTTGACATCGTGTTGCAGATCCGAAGTGTACTTGCTGTCCTCAAATAATCGATTTTCTTACCAATTCTAAAACACACGTGACAATCGAAAATTATATGAACAGAATTACAAAATGTTGAAATGTGGATGTATTATTATGAGGAATAATAAAATATATTCTGTATCATGGTCACGCTGAGATACCTAGAAAATCTTCAAAACATGTTTGGAACAGTTGAAAGAGACAAATCAAACGTCAGTATGAAAAGATATAATAATTCATACAATGACAAATATGGACGAGACAAATGCCACCATTCTCGCCGGTGCAGTTGAGGTTATCGCGACTTATCGCTTGTTCGACCAAATCAAAATAACAATGTGCGCGACCAACGTGAGCCGTGCAAAGGGCACATTTCCATGAGAGACCGAGTTCATACGCAAAATTATGCAACATGATTTATTTAGTATTTTGCTGTTACATAACGCATAGCCTGAATAATGATCGATTATTCATCGTATGGATAATGCGATGGCGTTTACACGGCTTGCGCGGATTTTTTTACGTGCAAAATAACCCAAGAACTAGTTCTCAATAGCTGTATGGGAGCTAATCGGCCAATCATGGATGAGGCTAGCGCGCGATTGCGCGGCCACGCGTGGGCTCGCATTGCGCTCGCGCAGCTCACGCTCGCGGCCGTGCGAAAGTCCACATGAGCCTGTTGCCAGTTATTGATCCTGGCGCGATTAAACAACACTGCATTGCCGTCAACTACGAAAACAATTCTCGCCACGTCTCGGCCGCGCTCGCGTTCGCGTACGGCGTAAAAGCGTTGGCGCGAGGGCCGACGAACGTCTCGTGCACGATTCCAGCTTGCACCCGGAGGACTCGGTGTGCGACGCGAGCAAGCACGCACGTCGCACCGTCTGAGATACGGCGGCTCCGCTGACACATCCGCTGACTACGTACTGTCAAAATGTAGAGGGTTCCACCGCGGCAGCAGCGAGGCAGCGTTCACCGCATTGAGAGAGTCAGCCGCACTAGAAAAAAAAAAGAGGGAAAGAGAGCGAACATGTCATTGGATTTCCGCGAATGAGCTTGAGCTCGAGCCAAGAGCGCGACAGCCTAAATCTCTCGAATCCCGGCCGTGATTTCGCATAGAACGAGAAGCAGACGGGCGGGCGGACGGACGGGCGGACGCACGAACGGCGCGGTTGCACATGTGATCCCCCCCGAGTGGTCGACCCCATTTGGCAGACGCGATGAAGAAGTTCACGATCAAGGGTGTACTCGACGGATTCCGGTCGTCGGTCCCGCAACCCGTCAAGCCCGACCAGGAGATCGTCGAGAACCTGAGACCGGAGCACTTTCAAGTTAAGAAGGTCAGTACCGATACGGCAAAGCGCCTAGTATTGTCCGTACGTCCCAATTTAAAGTGGACCTGTCGATAACTCCCGGTCCGGCGCAGATTTTTCAGACTTTCCATCAAGTCGGAAAACTTTTGTGAAACTCGACGATTCACGAAAGTTCGGGATAATCCCGCGGAATAATTTCCGATAAACGTCTTTTACGGTTACCGCGACGCCTAACGATTAAGCGATACAAGTCACACAGTTAGTAATTTTATGGGTCATCCTCTACTGATAAATAGATGATGTTGACTTTAATGAGGCTTATGCGCGCTTACAATCTATGTTCATGCATCCGTTATGTTACATAATGATCAAAGAGAAAAAAAATTTATATAAAATTTACATCAAAGAGAACGCGAGTTATTAGAGCAATTCAATCACTTACATTTCTCTAAATTCAATTATATTTGTTATATTTTATGTATTACATCCGCATCTTCGTGTGTACCTCTGAACTGTCATCGAACAAAAGCTTCTCCCTCGGGTTTTATCTTACAGCTTGGGCGTTCTGTTCTTCGAATTGTTTCTTTAAGCTGCGCCATCGATATCGAAAGTTCGCGCAAGCTATCGTAACTTCTTGGTATTCATATCACTGAAACATACAATTGGTGTGTCGCATTATTTCTATTAGCATTACGAGTTTCGATTTATCGAAGAAACGAACGTATACAAGATCTCTCGCATCACGCGAATGTATTTTAAAGGACTCGGAAATATACTTTCTTAATTTATATTTTCTTACTCCCGAAATTCTTCTAAAAAAAAATATCCGTTTCGATTACATGCATCTGCATCTATCAAATTTTAAATAATTCCGGGGTCGTCCTTCGGGGTTGATTCGTTTACGAAACACGCGATGCCTTTAGAAAGCAGCTTGTACGCCCGTTAAGAACCGCAGGTTTGGTTCCGTGTACATAAGCTGAAGAACGTAAACACCCCGGTAGTTGTCGATACTTGCTGTATATCGCACGAGGTATCGCTGCATCTCGCTCGTCAAGTTCGTGCGCCAAAACTGTCCCGTCTATTTACTCGTGCTAGTCGTACGTAACTGTCGGCGAAGTTGATATCGACTATCGCGCTTCGGTACACTTTCGTGCGAATATCCGTTACGCGGTCGAGGAACAGATAACGATATGCAGATATTACGACGCGCACGAGAGAGAACCGGCGGCGTACACGGCAATGCCGATTAGAGGCATGTTTTACATTATACGCTATGAATTTTATTGTACATCTCGCGCGATCGATCTCAATTAAGCACGCCTTTCTTCTTATTTCACACAAGCTAGGCAATTTCGATGAAATTATTTTTGGAATATTTCGCGTAAGAGATCTCTATCGCGTGAGATTTCTATCATACTCGACGAGCTTTCCCCTGACGAAAATTCATTCAGTCTGACTCGTATTGCATTCTTCAGGATCGATTTGTCAGAAATTTTTCAGCTACATTTAAATAAGGTCAAGATTGTAATTTTCATGTCAAGTCACGAACTTGCCGGTGACTGCGGCGTATGACTTCATGTCGAACGCGTTGCATTTGTCCTTGCTGAAATCATCGCTCGATGCGTAGGTGATCAGACAGCCATTGCAGATATTTTAACTTTCCCGCTGTGACGAAGAATAGCACTTTGCATATCAAGTTTTTTTCTTTTTACTTCGCGCGTATTGCTCATCGACATTTTCATGGTGAAAATATGATCGGGAGTTGTTGGAATTTTTTTACGAGTTCTGAAAAGTAGTTATCAAACACGGCGCGTATGCAACTTGCAATTAGCTTTGCCGGAGAGCGAAGTACGTAATCTCAAATCTGTGCTTATCTTATATTCTCTTCCGCGTTGACATTTATGCATTTATGAACGACAATAACGTTTGTATAGAAGCGGCGTGTATTATTCTACGGAAAAAAATAGCACGTTTCTTTCGCAAAAAGGATGATACGCTGTGTGCACTGCATAATTGCTGACGGTTTGTCCCAAGTATCGCGGTCTATCGCCCGACGTGGCATTTACATACACTTTGCGTACTACACTGCGAAAAATTTCAGAGAGCAACGCTAATACATTCGAAAGCATCCTAATGAATATTGATCGCACAGCTTTTAAGAAATGAACACTTAACTTCACGTCGCAGAATTTTATACTCCGGTCGATATAATAGATTATAAAGTTGGAGCGTTGCATGAAGAAAATTTGTATCGTTCGGGGCACGTATTTAGATTTTTAGATTTAGATCGTATGCAGATCTCCGTCGTTACCCCTTTACAGATCCTTGAAGTACCTGAAAAAAAAATACAGCCAGCAAATAAAAATTTCATTTACTTGGCGAAAAATGTCGAAAAATAGGACACTCGCAAACGCGAGTATTTTATTTTTCAACATTTTTTCGGCACATAATTTTTGACACGTTACAAACATATGAAATTGGCGTGCACACGTTTACGATAATTAAATTTTATTATCGTGCAAATTTTTTTTAATGGAGCGAAACAGGTAATAAAATACAGCGGGAAGTATCCAGTTGTGTTTCCAATAAAAGCAATTTATAGAAGACGCATATGACAGATCTGTCAATACACTGGAAGTTATGATGACCTGCCCTCTCGTGAGTTTGTACCTATAGATAATATTGCCAATAAGAAATTGCATTCGCGATATATCGAGGACTACGACGGCACGAACGTAGTTGATAAACAGCGCGATTCACGCCGCTTGACAAGTAAGATATCTTAATTGCGCTCTTACGTTACGCTCTTTTGCGATAATAGAGACTTGATTACTGGAATTTTTATCCGCAGCGAATTACTCTACGCGGAAATTCGTGTAATAAAAATAAAGTGAATAAAGCGTATAAATTTGTGGAGCAAGAAAAACACGGGATCTTTTTTTTTTATCTGTTAAGAGATAACTTTTTTTTAAACCATTTATCGTACACGGCTTTTACTATAATCTCTTGTAAAGCGAGCGTATATAGAAAACGATAAATTACCCGGTATATGGCGGCTCGGCCATGACAAACGCGTAAAAATAAAAATATCTAACGGAAAGGTGCGAGAGGTGCCTTACGAGAAATTAGAAATTACGTCGCGACGTACACATTCATTTGAGCACGCGCGTATCTGAATCTGTCAACAGGGCGGAAATAATGGCCCCCGGCGATGCAGCTGCGCTAGCAGCGGTATAATAGAATGCAGAAATGAATAAATTCGTGCTTGCGCGCCGTAATACAAGCGCGATGCCCAGGATACGCGCAATATTTTTTAATTTTACCTCATTGAATCGAACTGCGGATGTATATTTCCCAGCAAGGGAATTACGATCGCTCTTTTTTTTTTATTATATTGTTATTATATTTCGAAGAATTCATTTTCGCGGTCAAAATGGAACGGAAGCGGATCTGCTATATAGCTCTCTGCCATCTAATTGCATTCCCGTATATTTTCCATTACTACATTCCTGGTTTTGCAATAGAGAAAATTGAGCAATTACTCTTCTCTTCCATTCGACGATATATATGTAGAACGATTCTAAAGCCTGTTTTCAAAAACCACTGCGCTTTTTAGTACAAGCGCTTCCTTTTTTCCCCTTTTATTTTGCATCATTCTATATGTTATAGAAAAAAAGCGGCGTAGGAAAAAAAAAAGAAAGAGCGGAATAAAAAGTTGACGCACGCGCGCCAAAGTTTTCACTAGCAGAAAATTGATAGCAACCTTGATATTGAGCCGATGCTGTGGGCTACTCCTCGTGTATGTTTCGCCGTATCTATCATTTCGCTATATCTCGTGTATGCGCATTGTCGTAACTCCTCGACCAAACCAGAGACATCAATTTCGCCCTCGTCCCGTTCCAGCTTTACCGCATCTCGAAGACAACGCGAACAATTGTAATGCATTCAAGGCCGAATGAATTGCGATTCGAATGAATGGCGATCCAAATCGTGGGGCATCGACGAAGCGGCATTGATACCTGAAAAAGTTTGACGTGTTAAACCAATAATAATAATTACTTTGAAAAAGTTCGCGAATTAAGACTCTCGCAAGTTTATGTTATTTTTTTTTTTGTTGCATCTAACTATTTAACAAGATCAAACTTTTTTTCCTCTCACTGGTTTTTTTACAACTGCATTGAGAAGCAGCTAATTAGATGTTACTTCGATGAGATTTTTTTCTTACGTAACGATTCTATAAATCACGAGAAAAATTGATACGCGCATAATGAAAATATGAAGACTGTTTTAATAATTATATCATAACGAAGCTAAGGACAATGTTGTTTGTACTCAGTTTTTTGCAGTTTGAGTATATAAACTTCGATTTATAATACGATTATAATATGTGTTTCCATAATTTCATTTGCGAGATGTTATCATCGGTCATCATTTGTTGATCGGAACGTTCGCAAGACTCGAAGAATATTGAAAGCAATAGGAAAATTATTTGCTATCGATCTGGTTTATTCCTTTTATTTATTCAGTTATTTAGTTGGTAAATCTTTTGCAATACGCAGCTTGATTCTTTTCAAATGGGCAGATGCCAAATGAGTGTCCATGATAGAGATAGATCGCACATGCCATATACACGTTGTGTTCGCCAGACCGAAGAAAGAGAGAGAAATAGAGAGAGAGAGAGAGAAGGGGAAAACAGCGAACAATCAGCAAGCTTTTGAGTTCGCGGAGCTGTCGAAGGCGTTGCCGTAATGCGGTTAGCGTGGTTAAGCACTCGATACGGATTTTTACTTGCGGAAACTTTACTTGCACCGCGGAATAGGTCGCCCGGTCGCGTACGTGTCGGTCGAATTGCCGCACCTGCAGGGCGAACTGTACGACCGCCGCAAATTACAATGCAATCATCACGCTATAACACGATCGAGTGAAACGCTTTCTAGCTCGTGATAATCCGAGCCCGTCGCGCTGTGTAAGCGGATTAATTTCTACGGCCGCGAAATTACATTCCCGCAACATGGAAAAAAACTTTGCACGCACTTAACGTGTGCAAGCTGTTTAAACACAGTGAAAATTTCTTCTTAGAATAAATTTAAATTTTTTCTCAGAATGAATAAATACAAATTTTTAATCAGATGAATTAATCATCGCTGAATTCATCAAGTATAATGTACCTTTCTTTTTTTAAATTAATGAATCGATTGTTTTGGAATCATTCTCACGCGAAATTTCTCGTATACGTAATTTTGCAACCAATTCTAGCGTCGTTTCACAAATTACAAATTTATAAATTTTGAAAGATAAATATCGCTATTGCATCGTAATAAACATGCGGAGTGATTGTGTTTGTGCGTAATAAATAAAGCAATAAGATACCCGAACGTGCAAAACCGATGTGTACGCAAAACTGTTTGTCGATAAGCTTTGAATAGACGGATGGGGCGATAGATATCGGATAACCATAAATATCGGATGTATCGTTAAGAAGGATTTTATGATATCTTGATACTTTTTTACGTCATGATTTAGATACTGCGCCGGACAAAATTATTCGTATAATCTCTTTATTCCGCGAGTAATTTCTCTCGCGGCGCTGAGCACCCCGCGGCGCTGACAATGCATCGACTGTCGGCGAGGTCCGGCAAACTGCCGGCCCGGCGGAAAATCGCGCGTGGGCGAGCCTCTGGGGACACGAAATCGGAGGAACGGAATAGGTTGCTCCTGAGCGGTCGTAACTTTCGTATCGCCGTATTTTAACCTACTTCCCCCGGCGCCCGGCGGTTGGCGGTCGGCGAAATGGAACGAGGGCAGTTTTCACCAACAGCGAAAAGCAGCGGTGGAGTTCCGCTGCACCAAAATCGATCCCCGAAGCGTATATCCGTCGCCCCGGTACGCTCTCTCTCCGCCACGTCAAACCGGTCGCGCACGCGGTTAAACCTAAATCAAGTTGCTCAATCCGTTTACGCCATCGATTCATCGAGCGCGCCGATGCTCCTCGGGCTCCTGTTTTTTTCTTCCCTTTTTTTTTTCTTTTTCTTAGAGACAAGCGACTAACTTCGATAACAATTTTGATTGCATCTTCGTGGCAATTTGTATCACGACGGATAATCACGAGCGAGAGTTCGCGAAGTGTATAACGACGGAGCGCGCATCTTCTATTTCACACGATTACTTCATCCCTTCGCCCTTGCGCGAAGTAAGGTAAAGTAAAGCGAAGTGCTTTTAAGATAACTTTTCTGCGCGGAAGGCACGTAAGCCTTCAAGCCTTCGTTCTTACCGAGTATAGCGCATATCGAGATATAGCGCGCGGTGTCGCGTTACTTTATGCGGCAGAGGAGTTTCTCGCTCATGTGGTAAAAAACAAAAAAGAAGAAAACACCCATCAAATATTTCTCCGAGAGTAGTGGAGGGAACGCACCTGTTTTCCATCTTCGATATCAATTCTCCGTTAATGAGGATGAGCCTCTCCATTGGAAATCGGGATGATGCCCGATGCGAAGTCGATTTAAATACCTGCGACGTGCACAATATGTGTGACTAACATTTATGTATCGGGCGACAAAGGTATGGAATTAACAGTAGTCAGGTTGTCCACAGAGATACAAACAATGGACGCCCGTGAAACAATACCGCTTCCCCTCCCCTCTCCGCTTGATATATCTGCGCAACCCCTTGCAGGGATGAATAGTCTTCCAGGCGACTAAAGCGGGAAAGATGGCATGAAACGGACGCCTTTTATGTTGCAGACATTCAGACACGGCTTCCCGCATCAGCCGACAGCGCTGGCATTCGACCCAGTTCAAAGGCTCCTAGCTATTGGCACTAAATCAGGATCCCTCAGGATGTATCCTTTGACATTACCGTTAATGCGCCGGCATCCCGTAATTAAGCGTCTTCTTTTTTCTGAAACGAGAAAGATATATATAACTCAATTCGAAAACGGCGCGAGAGATTGGTTAATTTATCACTGAGCGTGGTACAATTTTTATTCTTTTTTTTTTTTTTATTTATTGCCTTTTGTTTTCTTTATATACTACATGTCGGCGTGTATAGAACGTGGAACTCTCCCGTCGGCCGCTCTTTGCCGCAAATAGTTCGTTATGCCGCGCGATCTCGTTTTCGGAAAGATTATTGCTGCAAGCTCTATATTGCCGGAAGTAAAAACTGCAAACGTATTCGTCACTGATTTTATTATAAAAACCTTCGACAAAAATTTCGGATGTCAACGAGGTTTCATACAATTTTAGCGGATTAATTACACGGTCCTGTCGGTCCGTGGTTCTTCGACCGTGTGTTTTTACACGTCAGCGACTTCATTGATCTATCATGGCCAAAGTGTAGCAATAGATGCTCATCGCAGTTCGGTGGGCACACTAACTACCGCGATCGAACGCGCGATCACTATAAACGGAAAAGTTCTAACTACGCTGTGTCAATCTTGATTTAGGTGGAACTTTTACATTTTGCATTTAAAAGTGTTTGTCTTTCTCCACACACGAAAGTTGATGAAAAGTGCTATCAGCAAGACTTTTCTAATAGTAGTATAATAGTTTTACGGTCGATCTTTCCACTTTTACGATATTACAGTTCTGCAGTATGCAGTTTTTTTTCTTTAATGAGCTATCGCGATGGAGGGATGGAAAACATTTTATCAGAAATGTAATGCGGAATTATAATTATTAATATTAATTATAATTATTTCACGATCGTGGCTGCTCGTTCGTAATCGATTTATATTTTTCTTAACGAATCTGATACTGCGAATATACAGTTTGGGCAGACCGGGCGTAGATGCACACGTTAAGCACGAGGGATGCGCGGCTGTAATACAATTACAGTTCTTGATCAACGAAGGAGCATTGGTGTCCGCTACGGCGGACGACACCCTGCATTTGTGGAACTTTCGTCAGAAGATACCGCAGGTGGTGCAGAGTCTCAAGTTTCAAAGAGACAGGTCAGTCGCTAATATACACCTTGCTTACTCTTACTTTTCTTAACTTTTCGGACTTTATTTTGTCATTTGCGATGTATTAGATCTCGGTTTTAATACGTTCAGTGGATATTAAATAATCATGCATTGTACGCGAGTGAATAGAATACAACGTAATTGGAATTTTGCGTTTTGCAAGCACATAAAGCGGTTGAATTTTTTGACGAATGAATGTTAATTGAATCGTACGATTCGCTTTTAACAGGATCACTTGTATTCACCTACCGCTGCAAAGTAAATGGTTGTACGTCGGGACGGAACGAGGAAATATTCACATACTGCACATTGAAACGTTCGTTCTATCCGGATATGTAATTAATTGGAACAAGGCTATTGAAGTGTAAGTATATAAATTTTTCCTAAAAATATTTTCAGTAATTTTGATAAACGCGAACCGCGTAGCATTTATCACTATTACGACGACTAATGCGATTAAAACAAACGCAATCATATATCGTATGATAAATGATGAACGCATGCAAAGCATAATCAATTCTACATGCCAATCTTCATTATTTTTAATTCCATTAATTCTAAATAAATATATAAACATGTTTAAAATTTTGATCGCATCTAAAGGTAAGTAGTTGGAATTGAGCTGCCACTATCAACACAATTTAATTTTAGAGATGGAAAGATTTCCGTTGAATGCAGAGAGCGACAGTGTGAAACGAAAGATTAAAAAGTTTGCTCTGAATTTTTAACATTTGGTTGATTAGATTTTGTTTTATTGAAATTTTCTGCAATCCGGGGCAAACGGAAAGACACGCTGCGAGAGAAGCGTAACGATAAAAGATTTATTTTAAAGTTGTAAAATATTGGCCCTTAAATTCGTATTACGGAAAATACATCGGGTGTGTTTGCGGATACTTCTAATTTGAAATATTCTCCGTGCCGCTGTAATTTCTTAGCGCAGCTTACGCGGTATGAAATATGTCACTTTTTTAACTTCCGATAAATACGTACTAGCGGTGGATAAAAAATTGCGGCTCGGGGAAATATTTCAAATTAAATGAAGTATGTATCAGCCATTTGTAATCCTTATAAAATGTTTACATAACAGATTAGTGCTCGCTGTTCTCGAGAAGAGTATACCTTAAAAATATTTTTCAAAAAGATGAGTGAGGTATATATTTTCAGAGATCCCGTTTCCACTAATTCCTATATAACGGATGTGTCGTTCGAGATTGTGTCCTAAGTGTGTGAATGTATGGGTCAACTAAATTTCGGTGGACAGATAACGTTCGTGTGGAGATTGTCTCCGATAAAGACTCTACTTTAGTACTACATTTTCTTAACACTGTGAAAGGAAACAGATGTCAGAAACCTGTAGTTCTTTATTGTGCCTGATCGTAGACACATAGATGTGAATGTGGCAGTGATGGCATAAGGATGCTCATTATAAGTGTACCGCCATTGGGAATTGATATTTCGACGATAAGCCAAAAATTATTAATTGATCAGTGGCAGAAATTGTTTTAAAAATTATCCGACGGGAGCGCTGGCTCAATTATTACTTTTATCATTACGAAATTCTTTGTCCGACGGGGCTCGCGCCACGGAATATTAATTTAATTAACGAATAAAAACATTGCCGTTAAAAATGTTTTATATCGGCAGAAATAACGGCTTTACCTCAGGAATAATTAGCCACGAATGATTCCCAATAGCGAGACACTTAAAATAACTTATGTAAGCGAATCCTTTTATCCTCCTTCTACCTTCCGAAAATTTATTATCACCGACAAAGCCTATTAATACTTCTACGTTTGATTTATCGGCATTAATACGCAATGGAGCTTTCTACATAATGGAGTTTCTATTGATCATGACTATTTAAGAACGCTTTATTATTTATTTTTCCTACTAATTAACTAATTTTCTTACGTATTATCTCTATTCATCCGAATAATACAGTGCTAATTGATATATGAGGATATCATCGGCACACATTAAATAAACATATAGCGTAATACTTAAGCTGAAGTCATAAAATGAAATTGCAATAAAACATAGTGGTTAAAGCCTGCACACAAGCGTTTTATATATGTTTCACAATAACACAAGAATAATGGTTTTCATATACATGTGTGTGTATATACATATATATATTTTTCAGATCTAGAAAGACCCATCCTGGTGCTGTAGTACACTTGAGTGATAATCCTTTAGATTTGAGCAAGGTACGCGCGTTTTTGAGTACGTTTTTTTTGCATTATTATTCCATCCTTATCATAATTTCATGATTGACATTATCCGATTTTTATCGCGACGCATAAAAAGAGAAAAAGAATCACGCGACAACGGCGTTTATTCAATATTTTTTACAGACTTGGATTAATACTTGTCTAGATCCAAGCAAATAAGTGCAAGGGTGTGCTTGCATGTTGTATGTGTGCATGCGTGCATGCTATCACTGTTGTGTATAAAAACGAATCGAAAACGCCTATTTCATTGAAAAAGAAAAGGAGGAAGTCCATATTATTTGGCACTCTGAAACGTTTACGGTCATAGCCGATGTCATGTCTAGTAAAGACGGATATTTAAATTCGTTTTACAAGTCAATGAAAATAATCATATATCGTGATCATGATCACTCATCTTTTTACACATTTTATATGAGTTCATTGTTAGTACAACAACGGAATTTCTGTCGCAAATCTTATGCAATTATACCTTGTATTTCTCTACTAACTGTGAAGTCATGAGTGTGTGACGAGTGTTTGAGTGCTCGGGTTGCGCTTGCAACCTCTCTGTGTCTTTGATGTTAATGTCTTAAATTTAATACTATATGTAATATCGTATAATCCCTGTGAAGGAAACGTACACGTTTGTATATTTTGATTACGACGGAGATGTTGTTTGTCGTAGAAAATAGCTTTTCAAACTGGTATAGATAAACAAATTATTAAGGATGGTGAATAATTTGATTTCCAATCGATATCTGTCAGTTGTATTTATTTCCTTGTCACTACGTGCGTGTCACAACAAAACGTCGTTTTAACATATCACCTTTAAAGAGTGATTACCAAGTTGAGAAATATGATTATGAAACTGCGATTTTTATCACTTTTTACGAGTACTTTTTACGAGCGGTGAGAAATATAATTAACTTACATTGTATATTTTGCAGATCTTGTGTGTAGAAATTTTTTTGACCGCGCGGTATAACACGATTTATCTCTTTAATTAACTTTGTCTTTGATTACAAGAGTCTTCCATTCCATTCGTCTTTTTTCAGCAGCCATTAATCAATATCATGAGCAATCATCGTATATCTCTGAGTTTTATATGTGCCCTTCGCACAAGTCTCGTAGAACGCATTTTATTCTCACTACATTTTTATATGTAACATCTCTATGTATACGTTAAATGCATTGTCGTGATAACAGAATCGAGAGACATTGTAAAAGAATACATTTTGTCACCTACATATATATACATATATATACGTATATATATATATCCACGTTTCTTGTTTCAAGGAAATATGTTTGTATAATAGTATGTGCACTTCATACGCGCGGATGCTTTGTTTTCAGATGCTTATAGGATATGCGACAGGGCAGATTGTTCTATGGGATTTAAAAACTAAAAATGCCGACTACAGATGTCAAACGGATGACCCGTTGAAATCGATAACATGGCACCACGAAGGTAAACAATTTATGTGCAGTCACACGGACGGTTCTCTTTCGACTTGGACTGTTCGGCAGTTGAAGCCAACAAACGTGACATATCCGCATGGTGAGATGCAGTTTAATGATGAATACGATTCTACTATCGATGGTATAATCCAGAAAAATTTTATGCCAATATTTTTTTTATAGCAAAATCCACTAAAGACGGAGAACCTGAACCTTGTAAACCCATTCAAAAAGTAGAATGGAAATTGTCGAGATCAGGGTAAAAATATATAAAATATTATTTATTTAACGATCACAGAATTAAGTTAATCATTAGATAATCGCAAATCTCGAATAATGTACATGTTGAATGTAAATTTTCATCAGGGAAGCGTATGTGATATTTTCTGGTGGATTAGCATATGACACTACTGGGAGAACACCCAGCATTACCGTGATACATGGAAAAACTACCACGGTGCTCGAAATGGAACATAATGTTATAGACTTTGTAACGCTGTGTGATAGTCCATGGGCTAGTGGTACAGTACAACATGTTTCTTTCATGATTCTTCAATGAAATATTACTCTTTTTCTTTCCAACAAGTTCTTTCAACTGCGATAAATGTCTTTCGATATGTGAATATTATCAGTATATCATAATTATTGTTATTAGTAGCTGAAGACACTGACAATTGTGTGTAATCAGTATCATTTATTATTATTCTTTTTTTTTCTTCAGATTTTCAAGATCCTTACGCTGTTGTTGTTCTACTACAAAATGACCTGGTTGTGATAGATTTGTTAACTTCTGGATTCCCGTGTTTTGAGAATCCGTACCCTATGGATATTCACGAATCACCCGTGACATGTTGCTCGTACTTCGCGGATTGTCCTTCGGATCTAGTACCTGCGTTTTATTCCGTTGGATCGAAGTCGCAGAAGAAAACCGGCTTCAGCGAGAAAGAATGGCCTATTTCCGGTGGAGAATGGAGTTCTAGTTCTAGCAGTTATAACGAGATTATTCTTACTGGGTAATATCATCAGAGATACAATTTTACATTAATGAATAACGAGCTTGTCTCGTCGGCCACGTAATAGCGTGCTTTCGGTAAACACGTTATCGCTCGTGTCCATCGTATGTGTATATATTATCATCTATCACAAGTTGAGTAATCAATAAGTTCCTTAAATTTCTATGGATATATGTATGTTGTTCGCAGACATGCCGACGGCAGTATAAAGTTTTGGGACGCTTCTGCGGGAACATTACAAGTCCTTTACAAACTAAAGACGGCGAAACTTTTTGAAAAAACTAGAACGCGTAGTATAGATTCCGAGGAAGACCCGTTAGCGATTCAACTTATCTTCCTTTGTCCTGAAAGTCGGAAATTAGCTATTGCGGGAAGTGGCAAGCACGTTGTGTTGTTTAAATTTAAGAAGGTTGAGAGTATGTCCGAAGTAGTGGTAAGTAATCTACTTGCTTATGATGCACTTTTAATACACCGCTTGAACCTACCATCATTTATCAAGTAAACTTGTTATAATCAGACGACAAAAATGGATGTATATTTTTTTCCTTATTTAAATATTGCAAACCGCATTATTTAAATAAAAAAGATCTATTTTTGTCACATTGATCTTAGGTGAAAATAAAATATTCCTTTTTCTACCTTGCAGACTTTGGAAATATGCTTATCGGCGGATCCTGGGAGAGAAGGGGACAATTCACCGGATCGCGAATCTCCGGCAACCGGCAACATCGTGGAGTCGAAGATTACGGAATTCAATCATCCCCTCAAAGTCAAGACGGGTTTGCAGAAAAGGGCTGCCGGTTTTCAAGCAACATTGATCTGTTTGACGACAGCACCTAGCGGAGAGCAACCGGAGAATATAACATCCCTTAGTTTAAATTCCTCATACGGCCTGTGAGTATAAAGTATAATGCGTATAACTGCATCAGTCAGTTGTTACTCGTATGACTTCATAATCGAATTAATATTATAACGCACGCAAGTTTTGCAAATTTCTAAAAGTGTCATTGTACGACGTAAAAAAATTATGCGATATGATATTTTAATGTATTAGATTGGCCTACGGAAACGAATCGGGGTTAGTGATAGTGGATATCGTGCAGAAGATTTCTTTAATCGTGTTAAATACCAGTGACCTTGGAGGTGGTTCTGATCCTTATCAACGCGTCTTACGGAGTCCTAAACGACAGGACGAGAAACGAGAAAACGAAGACAAAGCAAGAAGTCCAAGCACAGACCAGGTAAAATACACTTCTTTTTCTATTAGAATAACGTACATTTTGAGTTTCCCATTGTCTACCCCTTAATTTCGTTTAGAAAGACCTCTTAGAATTTTTTACATCTTGAGCGTCTTGCATTCTGCTTTCTCTGAGTGCCAACATTATTCTTCACTGCATGATTATAAAATGTCTACATAATTTAATTCCTACGGTTATGCAAGAGAATCACGTTTATACAAAGAATATCATGGTTTAAAGTTTCATGATTTAATAGAATATTCTATTTTCAACTTTGTAAATATAAATTACTTCTCTGATGATATTTTTTTGAAAAAAATAGTCATAATATGATACGCGCGCGCACGTACACGCACACATATTCGTGTGAGCGTGCGCGAGAACTATTTGAACTTTATTTAATTGCACAGTACGGTTCATTGCACATCATGTTTCTCAATATTGACAAAAAGTAGACCTAAAAACTTTAGTAATTTACTATCACAATTTTGCTTGAAAATCTTCCTGTAATTTGACTGAAAAATTTTTTCCATAATAATTTTTTACATATTGTAGCATAAACCGAAAAACACATAATCTCACTTTTCTTAAAAGAACATTTGAATATATCATAAAGAGAAATAAATGTTGGCAACAAAAAGGTAAAGTACCCCTCTAGCGGACACAATGTATTTCGTAATTAAAGGTAATGATCTTTTAATGAAAAATATTTCACCCAAACTCGAAATTATGCGATATTTTAGCAACCTTTGCTAAAAATAACGAAATTATTTTTTAATTAAAGACAGTGTTTGTCAAGCAACCACCCAATAGAAAATGTAGGATAACAAACCGTGTTCCGTCAAGTTTTAATCATATTCAAATACAAATGTAGTTTTAAAATGCGCTATCTAAAGTACAAATGCAATTTTGGGACAAGTTAATAGATCTAATATTCTCTTTAGCATGTGCAAATTAAGTTTTATATTTTAGCATATCATTTAATTATATATTTTTTTATTATTGTGTCCATAACTAATAAACATTTTTCTGAGTATTTTAGATGTCGCTTGTTAAATTATTTACCTAGTTTGCATTTAAATTTGGATAGCAAGAAGGTATTACTCGCAATAGGACATTCAAGCTACTTTTATACTGAAAATATAATTATATGAAATACTAAATAGTTATATTTATATATGCTTAGAGAATTTTTAGATGTAATATTCTTCCCATGTATTATAGTGAGCAAATTACATGCGGGACTTTTTTTAATTCTTTTATTTTTTCGAAAACTTTCATGTATGACCCTTTGAGCAAAATTTTTAGTACAATAACAAAAATATTCAAATTGAACTCAATTTTCGAAACAAGTATAACAATTATCAAATGACAAATATCATTTTTAAATATATATTTGAAATATCAGAAGTGTTATATTTTAGGAAGAATAATTCGTATATTTATTTTTGTTTAAGAAGATGAACGATCTTCTGTTTAATAATCGATTCGGACGAAGCAAAATTTTGACTTATTAAATTTGACAAAAATATTTTTGAAGAAATTCATTATATAACATTTTTCAATTGTGAAAAATGTTTTTACATCGGCAACTACTGGTCAAACTTGTCATTTTCCACGTGCCAAAATATTTTTTATAAATTATACCGATATAAATTTTTTTCTTATTTTTTAATCAATTATTGTTATGGTAAAGTGAAAACCTTAACAAAATATAAGTGAATGTACATATATAATTCTAGATACTAAGATAATAAAAAATCGTTTATATTATATTTTATCATAAAAACAATTTTTGTTATTAATTTTATCTTAATTAAATCTCTTATCTTTATCTCAATTAAAAACTCGCTATGATATATGCATAACAAATGTTTAAAATACTTTTGCTTTCTTATATAACTTTACGTATAAAAGACTAGTGATCTTTTTCGTTGTACTTACATATACTTTGCATTTAATGTTTAGCTAACTACTATGTGTCTACCATTGAAGCAAGTAAGATCAAATATATTTCTGTTGAAAAAAAATTGTTTTTTTGTGTTGTGCAATGTTGCTCTGTTAAGAATATTAATCTTATTTATATATTATTTGAGTGGGTAGCAATCGAGATAGTACAGTTCGATAGTACATTCGGTTTTTATCTGTAATTAGACGATAACATATGTTAAATGTAGTAATTGAGTACAAATGAATAAATGAAGGAGTAGAAAACAGTATAGAAAATCAGTATTAGAAACATTAGTCACTCAATACATGTCAAAAACAACAATGTTTCTCACATAAACGTTTGATGGGATCTGTGCATGTGCATAGATTTGATACGAAAAATGTAAATGCAAGACACATTTCATAAAAATAATATGATGTGTTATGTTATAACAACGACTTTATAAGTAATTGCTTCGAAAACCAAATATTTTTTTTAAATATGATACATATACATATGTATATATATTATTAGTGATAAATTTACGATATTGTCTGTAATTTTTTTATAACAACATATATAATTAGAATATATTAATATATACAGTAATGCATGAGAGAAATAAACGTGCAAGATAAATCTTATATAAAATAATTGCAATGCCTAGGTAATTTTGTGTACTACTTACATACTGTGTATTATAGGACAGAAAATTGTCAAGTATTTTGGCAAATCTCGAGTTTGAGATGCCATTGAAATAAGCTTCATCTGTCAAGTATTTGAAAAGTCATGCTTGAGAATGATAGGAAAGGTTAAAGTATAAAATCTTTTTGCTGTTTTATATATGGGCGCTCTACGTAATTTAATTCGTAGTAGTTGAAAATTGATTTGTATCTGTTATATTATGGTAATTTAGTAAAAGAATTAAAATTGTATTTGTCATATTTATCTTAACGTAACAGTTGATCGATGGTGTAGCATTGTATTAGAAACCAGAGAGAAAACGAAGTATTTGTCACTGTAGACAATATATAATGATATCTTTACGTGTGAGATAAATATTTTTAGTGCACTGTAATCGTTTAGTAAACAAAATGTGTGTATGTAATAATAATTATGACATGTTTCAGCTACGTATGTACATCACATCAGTAAATGTCAGCATTGCTCAAATATTGATGAAAATTCTAACAGGTGATTAGATACATCCATATGCAAATGTTGCGAGTGAAATAGAATATCTAGCAATGTTTTCTTTTCTGACTAAAAAAAAAAAAAAAACGTAATAACTTTTACATTTCAATTGGAAATTTCTAAAAGTCTATAAAATCACTTTCAATTTACAGTGTAATTATATAATAAAATTTAAAAAGTTTGCTAGTAAACAACGAGCTAAATATATTTGTGTTGAATCGAATTCGGACTTTGAGATTGGATCAAAATTAAATTGTTGTACATTTTGTTTGATGGTCTAGAATTTTGTGAGTATTAGATTGTGACAACTCCCGCCTTACAATTAGTTGTAAAAGTAAATTTGTCGAATTTTTTTAATTTTTTTTTGTTTTAAATAATTAGACAATTTTTGTATATCTGTCTACATGCTTGTCCTACCTTTATCAGCGCCTAGTACTGCCATTTTACTGATGTAATGCGTATATTACATACAACATTGTCATCTATAACTTTTCATTTATGTTTAAAACAAATCGAGTGAGAATTATTATCAAACAAGTGACATACAACTGTTCGCAGAGCTATTTTACGAAGCCAGTAACCAGTTATCTTCCAGCAATATTCACACACGTGTATTCGCATGCTTAGTAAATATAAATGTTAGTATATAAATATATATATATATTATATTATCAATGTAATTCTGTTGACTCTTTTTGCTTATTTTACACGAACATGTAGATAAGATTTATAACTTGACCAGTTGTACAGATATGAAATGTCTACGTAAGCTACTGATAAGCTGGTTTTATATTCTTTATCATAATTTATTTTTCCAGAGATTTATAATATCGCCGAGTCAATATTTACTATTTTATACTGTTCTGCTATCAAGAAAACTGTAGACTTCTCTGTATATAATTCTCTACAAACAAGGATTGTAACTCTCATATATGCATAAAGGTGTCAGCGATTAACCGTACTTTTTTCGTTTATGAATGATATCAAACGTAATAACAATATGCAGTATTTCTCCAGTTGAGTATTTTGCGTGTGTGTGTACATATATATATCTACTCTACTAACATTTTAATCAAGTCGTTTTAATAATCCATTATTCATAAATTATAAATATAGTGGGAAGAAATGCTGCAATTCTGAGATACTCTCTTTAACATGGCAAATAATCGTTAAAATAGTCTTCATTTGCACAACAATATATTACAATATTCCACTGATTAACGATGTATCGTAAATAGGAAGGCCGACGTTTCTACGAGCATCTTAGGCATTTGATTTACAGGCAGACAGATTTATTCATAAAAAAAAAAATTATAATCATTGTCCTGTCTGCACTCTTCAGTATGAGATTTTCACGAGCCTGGGAAGTGACAAGTGACCACGTGTTTGCTTTCAGTTTGAATTTCGCTTCTTCATAGGCATGTTTCCACTTCACGCGTTTACAAGACACGGCAGATTATGTAACAGCACGATAATAGGGGATTAGTCTACACCACTATTTTAGTGGACACTTACGGAACACGAGCGCGAAAATGACATAAAAACATTTTTAGAGTACACCTGTTCTTAGACTTAGGTCATCTCTTTTCATCCTGCGAACTGACTGATTGTGCAAAGCCCAACATCTTAAATTCGTCAGAGTCAACGAGAATCCGCGTTGGAATCCGAGCCGGTAGTTGCAAGGATAGCGGATTCGAATCAACAAGTACAGCAGCAAACGTGTCCCCGCAATGAAAGTCAGACCGGAAACAGTAGCGATAAATCGAGCGCGGAGGAATCCACGAGCGAACCAAATAAAGCGGGACAGCTTCCTAACGGCGACGAGTGTCAGAAAAGTCAAGGTTGGAAGGGATTTAGCCTCAAGAGACAACTAAGCAAGGTTGATCTGAAGATCAAAAATACTTTTACACCGTCCTTGGTGTCTTCGCAGAATGGGGTACTTGTATGCTTTTTAATACGTGCTTTACTTATCGTTTCTTTATGTCATAAAAAAAAAAAAATCATTAAACTCTTTTTACTTCTTCATCCTCGCGGAATATTTAAATTGTTTCATAGCATTTTACGTTTCAAGGCGTTTCCAAGCTTATTAATTTATATGCACCTTAATTTGCATATAAATTAGCTTTACCGACATTCTTACTTTTCTCTGCGTCGTTTATAGTATGTACATATTCTTACGAACGTAATGTAACAAAGACAATGCCTTCCTTTCCTTTGTTTGCCAATTATAGGAAGGAAACATTGAAACTTACGTCAGTATCAGTAGTACTTGAATTTAAAAAGAGTATCTTTTGTGTGCAGAAATTGGCTTTGAACGCTTATATATATATATATACATGGAAAACCGCTTTCCGTGATTAGTAGCAGCGTGTGCTTCTTTTTCGTAAATCTAATATCGTCTTACAATATGTACGTCTTTATGTTTCCGAAAGAGCTCGTCATCGGGGCTCATGCAAGTACCCCAATGTCAGCAGGTAAGCGGCGATGCTGGCAGTCAAAAGTCTTCCACATTTTACTGCAATATCAGCGAAACAGCCAGCACGAGTCGTTCGCTCTCGCCGGTCGAAAGCGTTGACTCTGAATCCTCACTGTCGCCGGATAATCAGTCTTCGGGATGCGAAAGCCCCCAGATCCCGGACGATAGGAAACGAGAGATCCAAGAGGCTAGAAGCCCGACGGAGAGCGAGAATGAGAAAACGACGATAAGCGACGAGAGTATCGGCGCGAAAACCGAGGCGGTGAGACCGATGAATCTATCTCTACCCGAGCACGAAATAAAACCGCCGAGATTGAAGCGTATCGCCAAGATGAAACAAGCGAAGAGAGGAGAGGGCCGCTTGCTCTCGGTGCCGAATCTGAAATTTCCCAAAAACGAGCCGACCGTTTGTGACCTAAGATGCGAAGAGAGCGCTACCACCGAATCGTTCACCGGCAATCTTATAAGAAGATTCAGTAAGTGTTTAAATTTAACGTAGAGAAAGCGTTATGTGTCGTCCGTGTGTCCTTAGAGAAATATATATATATACGTATATATATATATATTACTTCGTTAGATTTTTCACGTTAAATGTGAATGTGTGCGTGTAATTAATCTTACTAACGATCGAAATTCTCCTCGATCGGGAAAGCGTGCGATTAACAATGAAACTGCATTTGTATCTGTGATTGAGAACATGTGGTGGGTGTAGACTAACCATAGAGAGAGCTCGGCTGGCCCTGAACGTGCTTCTGCCTCTTTTTTTTAACACAAAGCCTAGGATGCTCTTAGATGCGTTCAAGATTATTTCCAGAGGAAACGTTAACACAATTCACATTAATTGCATCTCCGCCAACATTGGGTAAATTATCTCAGTATATTAATAACTCACTCATCTCTAAGAGACTCATTCAGGCGCCAACATTTAACTTCATCTATTTTAAACTCAATTAAATTCAATAATTAGAACAGAATGAAGTAAATATAAATTCTTTCTCTCTGAATTTCTATAGATAGTAAATTATTATCGAGTCACAAAATATTTCAAACTTACAGTTTGAGACTTTCTCAATTGCAGAGATCAATCAATATAATAATATTTAATTGTGTAAGAAATATAAAATAATTTTCTTTTTGTTACCCAATATTGGCTTTCATATACGACATATCATCATCAAAGGTTTATGTGAAACAGTTAATATTTAGGTAACAATACTGAGCTTCTAATATTCATGTACTCTTGCAAGAAAACGAGATAACGAACTCTAAACATTATAAACGATATGAACAAAGATAAGAACGCTAGATTAGTCTTATGTAAACAGATAAGAACGAAAGATTAATTTTGTGTGAACAGAAAAGTATTAAATGTTTTTTTCGAGTCTTTCGACATCTTATAGATCACATAAATCTAATAATATATTCATATACATAAAAGTGAATAAAATAGCTCGCAAATTTTTATAGTTATTAGAATTTTTTACTTATTGCATGTCAAATTTAATGCATATTGATGAAATAGCAGCATTATCATAATGCAATCTAAATATTGTTGATACATACTAGGTCACGGAAAAGAACGGTAGTAATTTTTTTTATGTTTAACGTGTATTTAAAGAGCATGTTTTACATATATTTTAATATGTCAGTGTGAAAATGACTTATACAAAATTATCACGTATGTTTATTTGTTTAATTGCATATTTATTTGATTCTGACATAATTTCCGATGTACCTAATACCGATAGACAAACAGAGGTGAATAATTTACGATTGTAGCTGTGTAAAACAAGGTTTTTGCAAGAACTTGATAGCGGAAGCATCGTAGAGATATCATCGATCGTGAGATTTACTAAAACGCAAAATAATTGCTTGACGGATGTTTCTTGTAATGTAAACATTTATAGTTATGTGGAATAAGAGATTGCTGTGAAATCTGGTCACACGCAAGATGTAGAGTCTAATATAATGGTCAGTCAATAAGTTCATCAATAATTACGATTACGCTCGTCCAAAGTGTGTCGACGTTTCTTCGATAATGAAGAAAAGGCCTTAACAATTAGAAGAGTGCAGACAATTCCCTGCTAGAGGACAATACAACGCGATGTATGCTGATAATTCTTTAAAATGCATTCCCGATTACGATCAGAGGGTGCCTATACATGCTCTTATAAGCTACAAATTTTCAAGTTTGCGTTTTATTATTTGAACGACAAAATCCATGATATGCAAGTTTCCGCTGTTCTTACTGTGAAAGCAAAAGCTACAATTTTTTTTTTTTAAGATTATTGGGACAGGCTGTGAGACAAATTACGCAAACGGAAAGTATTGTGGCGCGAACGTCTCTGCGTTACATTGTATGTTCAATTTACATCCACAAATATGGTGTTTCAGAAGAATACATTTTAAAGGATGTCAACGCTTCACTAAACTGCATCGACTGCCTTTTCTTAAAGCATTATCTTGCCGAACCATTAGTATGCTACTCATCCGTTCTGATGGTCGACAGGTCGGAAAAAAGCAGCCCGTACACTTAAGATCTCTAGTGTTCCCACCCCCTAGGTTATACCAGTACTTGGAATGCATAGTAGATATTTGGAAAGTGCATCGCTCCCGTTTGGTCTTGGTATCCATTTGTGTCAACTTCGTTCCAAGTTATATACGTTTTGTTCCTTGTAAAAACATTGTTCTTTGCTCGCAAAATTTGGGAAATACCACCCTCCCGCCCCCTCTCGCCCCGCAGGAATATCAACAGGAGTATAAACACGACCCAACCCCCAAACCCCCCCCCTCCTGTTCGCAACCCGGCGACAAGTCCTCCATAAATACACTTTAACACTGCAACACGAATTTGAAGAGATTCTACTTTAACACTTTTTCAGGTTCAAATCAATTTTGCGGTCTTCCCCGACAGCAAGCTCGATTCAGGTAAAAATAAGGTTTTTCATATTTTCGCAGTTGTCTTATCACCGAGAGAAAAGTACACTCCTTGATACTCGCAAGATCGCAGTCAAAATGTATGATTACACAAGTACAAATTAATAGGCAGTGTTCTTAACATCCTGTAGCTCAGTCACGATGATCCAGAAAACGCAAATTCTATTCGCAAACTATTAGCATATTCTTACGATACATGATTAGTTACCGGGCGTACTTTCGCTCGCCTACAAATCTATGTAGAATACCGCAATGTCTCTCTTCCGATTTTCCAACGTATATATTATACATACATATTATCTAGACACCTTTCTCTCGGTACAGCATTGCTTTTCAAAGCTTTTGGAAATTTTTTCGATGGTTTGCACGCAAATAGCAATAGTAATAATAATAATAACACTGATGGTCGTGGCATCATCAATGACAACGAGACAAAGTCATTATCTTTTTTTCCTTTTAATTGAATAGATTAAGGCGCGAAAGTTGATGCGCGTTGTCGGACCTGATGACGCTTTTGTGAGTCCGCTCTTTCAAATTTTCTCGACATTGACTGACTGCTATAGAGGACTCTGCATAATATGCTGATATTCCACATAGCGAGCAATCAGTACGAGATGCACACACGAGCAGGTGTCTTGTGACGTTTATCAGTACGTTTCTCTCTTACGAGAGATCCTCCCTAATGCCATCATTCACAGTGCAGACAACAACAATGACTATTGTTTCGCACGCGGATTTGCTCGACTAATCATTCCTCTAATGGTCGGGGCAAAGCTCCGTCGAAGTGTTTTTCTTCATAACTATCGAGGGATCTCTATTGTTCGTTTCAGCGCGACAAAACAGTCGCGAGAGGCGGAACTTGTTCTCCTGTGATTTTCTATCTAACGAAAACTTCAATATTTTTACAGAATTATCTGCTTTAAAACAAACTTTCGTACCGCTTCGATCTGACGATCGATTTTAACGAGTTACTTCTCAAATAATATCACGGATTCGCTCGAGATGAAGAGTGTTTCTGTATCAGTGCTATTGAAACAGCGTGAGAAGAGTGTCTCCGATGTATGAGAATCTTCCGATGAAAAAGGAAATAAGACTTCTTTATTAACCTCTCTCGCATATATGTATCATTTAATAAGTGAATAATAATCGTCCGTGGTGTGTGAAAATATTAAGAGGCAATCAAGGAAGAGCAATTGCATTATTGAGTATCTTTTCGCTTGCCAGGAACCTCCCAGCTTATCACTTTCAGCTTTATTATTATTTTCGACGAAGTTTGTCCCTTCAATTTTAGGGTGGGAATTTAAATATATAAGAATTTAGGAAAGCATTTAAACGACTCAAATTTTTCCACATCATCTTTTGCATCATTATACATCAACGTCACAACTTATCATACTCCATGGCTTCAACATTTTCAAACTGCTGTTTTGTTTGATATTATTCTTTTCCCATGTTTACATTAAGCTTGAGAATTTTAGTTTCACTTATCCCTCCTTGATTAATTAATCTAACGAAGGTGGAAAGTTTTATTACATATTGCATTTGAAAACGCAGCTGGAATAGCTTGACATTTTGCAGAGAGTGAATAAAATATATATAGTGTGTAAGATAATATATAGATAATGTTTGCCCATACACGGTAAAAAAATCTGGAAAATTTAAATGAACGTGGAAATTCATTTTCCATGCGCTTTTGACGGAAGCTTGATAGAAGTCCACGATTATTACAACATTCCCATATTAAAGTCCAGTCCGTACACAAAAAAAAAATTTTTTTTGCTTTATAACCGCAAGCAACGACCGAGTCGTATGCTTCCTCCACGTTTGACTTGTCACTGATTTATAGATGAACGGGATGTGCGTATTGCCGGTGACAGGAAGAAGTACAGTGGGTGTTGGTGGTGAGAGAGGTGACAATGGTGATAATAGTGATGGTTGTAGCACCGGCGGCGGCGGCGGCGGCGGCGGCGGCGGCGGCGGCGGCAACGGCGCCAACAATAGTGACGGTGGTGCAGGCTCTAGTGCTGGTATTAGCGTAATTCGCTCGGGTATCCGTAGCACCGCCGCCGGCGCGATTAGCGGTACCGACGAGGAAATTAACGCGCGCAAGGGTGCCACGTTAGATCAACGTCACCCGCGCACGCAGGGCATAAGGAAGCTCCAGAAGTGTCTGAGCACCACTACCAGCCACTTCGAAGTGGATTCCGCCTTGGGCGCTGCCGCCGCTTTCCCGACAGTCTCGCTATTCTACGCTCAGCGTAGCACGGAGATGAGAAGCTACCCCTCAGCCGTCCCTCAAGCGTCCCAGAACTACCAGAATATCCTCACCAACACCAGACAGTATAGCAGCTTTGGTAGTATTACTGACAGACAAACTTGTAACTTATAATTATTTATGTATGGACTACGTAGAAACACCGATTCTTTCTGTGACACAGAATGGAAAAGCTACTACTCTTCTCTGACTCGCTTGACTCTTTTTAGTTTTGATTTCTTTGTGAATAGAACGACTCTTCTCGGATGAAATTTTTTCAAGAGAGTGCCGGATCTCTCGCGCAGCGTTGCTATTAAAAATTCGATCGTCTGCTAATTCGTACTTGATTTCCATGCTAGAAGTTTATACGCATACTTATTCGCGCGCATTATTTGACAATTTTATGTCAACTTTTTCTAAGGCAATACTTATTTTTTGTCTCTCACTCTCTATTGCGTAGTCTGAATAAATTTCAAAACTAATTTTTGATTAATTTTTTTTTTTAATATTTACTAAAATCTGTAAAATTCATCATAAGCAACGTTGTACACGAGATCCCTCAAGCACGGCGTTACGTCTTTCTATTGTCTAGAATCAATAGATACTGTCTGGTCTTTACTGATCTGAGTGTGAAAGTGACTTCGGTAGTTCTTACTACGATGCATCTCTTTCTTTCTGACTTTGTACATGCTCTTTTAGTGGATCTTTTCTAAATAAACACGAAATGGCACATCGTCTGGACTGCGTGATCTCTAGTTGTCACACTGCACCCTCGAAGAGAGATACTCTATCCTGTTCTTTCCGTTTTCGCCTATGTGGCAAACTTTTGATTTCTGCTTCTTTTATGGATGTGATCTGACGTTGCATCTCAAATAATTACTTCCTCAGCTCGATGCACACTCTAAGACGCACCTTATGTGAATATAACGATAAGATAGACTACTGTGCAAGGTGAATGTGCAAACGTTTCGGAACGACCAAATGTTATCAGTTAGCATCTTATCGTCCTGAACAATGCATATCTTTATCATAAAGCTTATTGTTCTGTCCACGTTTGTGTGAAATAATCCTTTCATACATTAACGTTACCTTCTGTCGTGTCGTTGTACGAAAATTACAGCTATTCTTATACAATTTTTCTACAAAGCGACTTTAATATCGTCAATACGGATATATGTTAATTTATTAACACGTCATAATCTTCTAAAAATTCTAAAAATTCGTATCCAAACTCTAAACTTTATAACACCTAAAAACTAAATTTTTTTACAAATTCAAGTTTTTTTGTCACAAATAGATTCGCCTTACTCGTACTTGTTTTCTTTCGCGATATATGTATATCTGTTATTTGAGACGCGTCTTATTTGACTTGAATTTATGAAGTGCGCGAGAACACTTCGTTTTAACGGCAACATGTACGCAGTAGAATAACATTACATCGATTAAATTAGAGAAAGTCAGACCATAATACGATATTAAATAATACATTGTGCCGGATTCTTTTCAGCAAATGAATATCTTGCTTAATATACACTCAGCGGTGTATTCCGATTGTTATTTTAAAAAACGGTTACACATATAAAATACTTTACACGAACCTTATCTTCAAATTGCAGTAGACTCACAAGTATTACGGAAAACTCGATCGATCTTATGTCGGCGACATAACTTTCGTCACACAGCCCGGAGATCGGCCGGGTATCTTACGCGTGCATGCAAGAGTAATTCTTCGTGCCACTCGTTTACCTACAGCTTACCTATACGAGACTAATTGATTATGAACGGTATTCTCTAATTCTGCGCTGATTGATACTTTGTGTGTCGTGCGTATGTACGTGTGAATGGGTGTGCGACTCTTTGCGTGTGTACGTGTGCATCTGTATAAATGAACTGACTTGATATTCATAAGTCCCGAGAGATGAGGCCAAACTGTAAGAAGAAAATTAACACGTGAACTGCAGTCGAGAGACTAATCGTGATAGTTGTTGTTGTTGCTGTCGCTGTTATTATTATTATTATTGTCATCATCATCGTCGTTGTCATAATCAGCATTCTCATTGTCACAGTCATTATTACTGTCCTCTTGAAGCTGCGCTGTCTCTAATAAGTGTTCTGAATCCGCTAGTTACACTCTGCGATATACACTACGTGAAAACGATGTAAACGTGTCCAGAAATAAGTTTGATAGTCATTTATGCATGCTTCTTAGTAGCCCAGAAAGCAACGACACATATCTTATTCTATAAATAATCGATAATTTTCTTTTGGGATCGCTGGTCGGGTAGACAAATTCGACGGTTCCTTTCAACGATCAAGGAGCTCGAGTATGTCGTCCCTCGAGAACATCACAACAGAAACCATAAGCTGCCTTACATTTGCGGATTCTTATACGAAAAAAAATGGTACGTAGACCATTGTGAATTTGACTTTTAAAATTCGCGACTTATCGTTCTTTTTTCTTTTGTTAATACTGTTAGCTCGACAATTCGAATAATTGTTATCAACTCCCATTGCGAGGGGACTCGTGTACAAAGGAGTTAATTATATCAGTTTTTGTGCAACGCTATACAATTGTTAATTGTGACAATTGTTTTTTACAGATACAAACGGTAATCCAACTTTATGGATTGGCACGTCTCTGGGATCTGTACAGACTGTTGTATTCAATACACCTGCCCAAAGTGAACGTCATGCTCATCCAGTGGTTGTGTCTACTTGTAGTAAGCAAAGCTTCTTTGTTACAGCATCCAAAACAATTCTACAGTCAAGTCAAATTCAAGAAATCAAATTTCAAAAATTTCTTCTTGCGTAAAAGTTCATGTAGTGCAGTTGTTGTATATGTTATTGTTATTTAAGACCGTTTGAGTATGCAATGTAAGGTTTAATACATGTTTCACTGTTTGCAGATGGATCTACTTTCAAACTCAAGGGTTGTATTCTATCTATGTCATTCTTAGACTGCAACGGCGCTCTGATTCCGTATTCCTACGAGTCTTGGAAAGACGAAAACACGGATGGCAAAGAACGCAACAGTATGATTTCTTCCTGTCTTTGACTAATCGCGTATAAAAATTTAAAAAAAAATGATGTAGAAATATAGCTTGCACTTTATTCTAACAATTCTATGCGCAACAGCACTAATAATAATGGACTTCTGTGTTAAAGAGAGTCAAGGAAAATGTACAAATAGTCGAATGTCACCGTCGATGAACACACAAGTCAGCGGGGATAGTTTCGAGGACAGGCAATTCGTCGCGCTCGCGTCGGAGAAGCAAGCGAGGGTTGTGGCGTTACCCTCTCAAAACTGTGTATATAGGCAACAACTGGCGGAGACTCATATCGTAATTAAGGCAGAAGTTACGTCTTTGAAAGGTATTATCTACATTTTACGGCAACAAATAAAGATATGCTGCTGCGATCTTTTATCGTTTTTCATCTAATTATTTTATGTCTTTTTGAGGAATCTTACACGTTTTGCAATTATTTCTGTTTAGATAATGTCTGTCTGGTGTGTTACGTTTCGAACGGTCACATCACAACGTATAGTCTGCCCAGCCTTAGACCGCTGATAGACGTCGACTTTCTACCTCTTATAGATTTGAGGTAAGAATAGCAACTTTTCTAACTCTTTTTTTATTTTAGCTATCAAGGCAATATAATAGCGGCAATATTTGCACATAATGCGTTGCACTATATGCTATTGTAATATTGCAGAAGTTTCTACATCTTTTACTCTTAATATAAAAAACATATATTACAATATACTATAAAAATATATCACATACTATATAGTTCAAAATGATATATGAACGATATATGTATATAGATTGAAAAATAATATAATGCAGTCATAAATTAAAAATGTCATGCTAATAATGTTAACAACTTGATGAAATTAAGATTAATAAGCTTTTTAAGAGACACTAATTCAGCTTATATGATAGAAATAATTGTTATATAATTCTACGTTAAGGATATTATTCATCACAAAAGGTTGAAAATTGAATAATTTGAAAATACGAAATAGAAAACAGAAGAGAAGATTATTTGTTTTGCATTCTCTTCAAGAAAGCCATTTATTTAGTTATAAAGCTTTACAGAGAAATTGCAAACGATAGAGTTGGAAGACGACTGATGCATTATATCATATTAAATCACAATTTTTAAATATCGTATACGTAATTATTGCTTCTTATTAGAAACAGAGAATAGGAGGTAGTTTTCAAAAGGTAAAAGAAAGCTCAGAACATTTTTTCTTTTTTTCAATTAAATAATAGTCGTGAATTATTTATCGTTTACAAGCAAAGGTTAATTTGCTGCATTAGAAAATTTTTAAATCCATATTTTTTAAGCTTTCGTAGCAAAGTTCGTCTTCTTCATTAATATAGTTAGTCATTTACAAACTTACTTTTTTAAATATTTTATTACTATGGCGCATGAAACTGGTTAATCTTATTAAAATTTTACTTATTCTTATCGTCGCTTAAATTTTATATTTATTCGCAGTAGAACGATAATAATAAGCGCAAGTTTCAAATCCATCGGCTCTAACATCATCGAGTAGATTTAGATAAGGTACCAAAGCCAGATATGCGCGCGAGTGGCACGTAAATAAAAATTATATCAGGTTATCAGGTACTTATCCTCAAGAATATTTCACTTTACCGTTTTATATCAGATTTTATAATATTATTAATATTGCAATTTATATGTGCATTTTTTCTAGAAGTGTGCAATTATTAGAAATTTTGCGCAATACAAAATTTCTTATTTAATTATTGTTATTGTATAAAAGTAAATAAAATTAATAAGTATTAAAATAAAACATTCTAGAAATATAGATTTTGTTTAATAAAACGAGAGAAGACTCTCACAGAAATGAATAATATAGCACACTTTTAGAAATTTTTTTATATATTAAGTAGATATTAGGATGTTATATAAATTCTAAACTTATATTTTTGTCGATATTAATAATTTATTTTTTTATGAAATTTCGCCTTAAAAAATATGAAGATTTAATAAGCTTTTATATATCTATATTAATACTGCTCTTTCTCTATATATATAAATATTCATTAAGAAGTGAATTAACAATTATTAACAATACCGTTAGCATGTGATTTTTCTCTGCAAAAAGTGCACTCGTTAACCCTTAACACAATTAGAGCATGCTTCGTTTGTAGTATTTCTCTTACGAGCACTTCTCTATTGCACTCTTTTATCTTGGAGCATATACTATATAGATTTGAAGAGAATGATGCAACGTTGTGAAACGAATGAAAATGCAAATTTGCTTTCTAAATAATTTACGCTCCATCAAAATGGAAATACTTTCCGTCCCATTTTGATTACGTTCTCTCGCACAATGTTTCACAACCACGCGATATAAAATTGGCATTTTTTCTATGGCAACTCTTCATCTGCAAGTTCTAATTCTTCATTTTAAAGTGTCTCTGTCTTTCATTGCGTATCATATCTGCGATTTCTATTTAGCAAAGAATCTGGCACTACACTACGAACTTTCAGGCAACATTTACCATTACCTGGTCTCTGTTTCACTAACAGATTTTTCTACATATACAGAGAATAAAATATATCGTGCAAACATATAGCGAGTCTCTTTAAAAGTAACTGAACTGGCTGTTTTAAGGGTTAATGCTGATAACGTATAATAACGTAAAAATATCGCGAATCTTATATTAACCCGTGTATGGTCAAGCGCTCACTTTCCTCCTGTCTCTGTAATCTCTAACAGTTTTCAGACCACAAAACACGGCATTGTAGACCCCATGTTGTCCATATGGGGTCATCAACTCTTTGTTAATGGCGATACCGATCAGTAAGTCATCTATGAAATACAGCTCACCATAATGTAAACCTTTACACAACACACAGTGCCTTGCGTGCCACATACTATCTCTTTCTCGATTTCACGATTTTCCTTACAGCTTCATAAATGTGATTTCATATAGGAGAGTGTTTTCTCACACGATTTAGACCTTTCATAACTACGAACTAAAACTCAACTAATTTTTATCACCTACCTACCGAGCTTTTTACGCTATGTACGCTATGTATATAACAACGCACACTCGACACACTCTTTTACAGTTGTACCCCGATATTGTCATTTTGCAATTTATAAATCGAAATAACGCATCGCAGTAAAGCCGCCTTGTGGATCTTTTTTACAGGATTGCAAAGACGCTTTGCCTCAGCAATCGAGGTCACGGTTTATATCTCTCATCACCTATGGAAATACAGAAGTTCTCCGTTTCGAGCGAATTCTGGTATTGTATTCTTGATCAACTTTGTTTTTCGTCTGATAAAATAATATCTCATATGATGATTGATTCTAAGCAGCGTTGAATTTAATTCGATACGTAAACCGCGCTTTTATTCGATTAGCGGCGAACTGACGGAGATGATGGGCGATCTATTTATCGGTCACGATATGCCGGAACCGCCTAAAGAGAGTTTCTTCAAAGGTTTATTCGGCGGGGGTTCGAGAAGCCTCGACCGAGAGGAGTTGTGTAAGTAGATATTTTTTGAATTACGAAGAAGGAATTGAGAATGGAAAAAAAAAATAATAATTCGACGTAAGTGCTTATATCGATATGAATTGCAGTCGGCGAATCCAGCGGTCGTGCATCGCGCACAGTGGCGAAACACATCCCAGGACCAAACGAGGCTATCCGCGAGCGAGTAGCTTGCGCGACGGGCGAGGTGAATATAGCGCACCAGATGGTCGTGGAGCGCGGCGAGAAGCTGTCGCAGCTCGAAGATCGGACAGCACGCATGATGTCGGAGGCCGAGAATTTCTCGCAGAGCGCTCACGGACTGATGGTCAAGTACAAAGACAAGAAATGGTACCAGCTATGAGAACGCAGTTCGGACCGGTGGAACGACGCACGTTTCTTTAGTTTCTTAGCGTTCGTGTTTCGTCTATGAGTTTTGTCGTATTAAGAAACTTAGACGTACTACGATCCTCACACACACGCACACATGGGAAACATCTACACGAGAAAAGAGGGATAATAGAAGGAATAATATGTACATGCGATCGCCTGTGCGGTGCACACGGCACACACGCACATTCTGTAACGAGTTATAAACACAAAAAAAAAATTATATCTCAAAGCGAATAAGTATATCAGGTGGCGAGATCTCTCAAATGTGTAATTATAAATCTTTGCGTACGGATGAGTAAAAGAGAGACGTTAGAATAGAGACCACCACAAGCTTCGCCGTGATGCATCTGCGCGGATGTGACATGTACACGTATAATTATAATTATATAAAATATAAAGTATTTAACGCAAAGATATGCGACAGATGATTGAGATATACGCGAGTCAATATAAGCAATTATGTAATAATTCGCCTTTTAACCGATGGCACTCGTTAATTCATTCGGACGTCCTGTGAACGCTGTTTAATGGCGCCTTGCCTTGTTTGCTTCTCAGCAAAGAATTGCCAATAAGTATTTACGAACGTCACATTGTTATGGATTTATGCACTTCTGAATATATAAGAATCAAGTGAAATGCCAAGAATCGCATTAGTTTTAAACCGACTAAAAATAGTATATACATATAAAGTACACTATATGAGTTCTTAGATTAATATTATATATGTGTTACATAAGAGAATATATATTACTGGAACGAGATACACACACGTGACTACTCATACAACATATTAATAATGCCATTGAAATTTGCAGTGTAGTACACATATTGTAGAGAAGAGTTGTTATTGACTAATGATTCTTATTCCGCGATGTAAATTTTATAATCGTGTACATTGTAAGCTGACCTGTATTTAAGTACTTATTGTTACGCGAACGTAGATAATTTCGTAAATATACGTTAAGGAAAATGAACGACCAATGCGATTCTGGCAAGTTCAACGAGTTACGCGGTAAATGCAGAAGGAAAACTTGTTACGATCGACAGACGTGATTTTATCTTTAAGAAAGTTAGGAATGCAGGCAAGACGGCACAGTGACACTATTCCGAATGCATTGACAATAAAACGTAGTTAATTACTTGGTGAGAAAGAGTATTGAGATAAAAGTTGAATGCAATGAAATATATTTTATCCAGAATGGCGAGTTGCGCAGACCGCAGAGGAGCTGCTACACTCGCCACACTGATAAGAATGTATTAGTTGTTATCGATTGTAGTTATCGCTAGACGTGCTATGTATATATATAAAGAGATGAATACAGTAGTAGGACAGATTCCGCGTTATAAAGCTGTTTATATAACAATGTGTTATGAGTTACGCTATTTCAATGCCGACGATAAGTTCAACTGGATTTTACAACACACTCTTACACGACGTGAAATAAGTCAACTGCTGTAATTTTAACATTACATATAGTTTAGATTAATTAAAGACAATATAAAGTATGCATATATATAAGTAACCAGATATATATATGTGCATATATATTTGGTCATATATGTATATGTTTATAAATATATTAATGATAAGTTCCTTTGAATTTATCGAGGCTCTGAATCGTCGTACTGCTTCCATAGCAATAACTGTATAGTTGATGTTAATGGTACTAATCACTCGTATATTTAATAATGTGCCCGCAGAGGATTAATTAGAATGCATTTTTCGAATTGATTCGAGCTCATGATATAATTTCCCTTGGACAATATACACGTATAGAAATCCGTTGTCCCATTACACTCTTTATCACGGGATGTCTTCACTATCGATTACTAGTACAAAAAAAGAGGAAGCGCGAGCTCGTTCGTCGAGGTATGCGAACCGTAGTTGAAAATCCATATTGATGCTGAATTTGTAATACGTTCGTGAGAGTGCGCAGTTTAGCGACGATTCTGAATTTCGAGATCTTGTTTTAGCTAAATTGCTGACTCTGACAGACGTTCCACTATCTTACATTTAGAATTATTATTCCTCGGATATCCGACACTCAGTATGTAAGCAGTTCAATGGTAGATAAGATACATTCAAAATAAAATATAAAGTATCCTAAGCAGCGGAGAGATTTGTTAATGCCCGAATTACGAATGCCGGTATACAAAATAGGAGAGAGAAAGGTATTCTTTCAGTGAAGGATCGTTTTACTGCTGTAATAATAGAATAGATAGTTTAATGTGAGCTCTAGTTACGAAAGGCAGGAATTATACTATTATTTAAATGTTGCAGTAATATATTCTAACGTTCGTTGCACAAAGATTATATTTATCGGCAATTTCTCATTATTTATCAAAGAATTTAGTCATGTTTTGAGGAAATTTCTGAAAATAAATATAGTATCATCTATTTTAAAGGCCATAGTATGTAAAAAAAATCTCGAAAATTTTCGACTGTGATTAGTCGATTCGCTTGTTTGTTTAAGTTCTGTTGCATGTCTTTTATGTGCTATGGTCTTGAAACTCAGTAAATACTATTTATAAGGTAAATTTTTAACTCTTTCTAGCCCATATTTATTCCAATTAAATCAAGTTTCCTATTGTAATAAGAAAAAAAATTGTTTTCTATTGTTTATTGTTTTTACTATTATTATATCTGATTAATAATATATCATATATATATATATATATATATAATATATATATAAGTAATAGCGTACAACAATTATAGAATTATAGAATGTACAGTTATGTCTAAATTACAGATAAATATATATAGCTCACACACCACACACATATACGTGATATTAATTAATTTCAAACAGGATCTACGGTGCTAGAGATTATTGTTGGGCTGGACAGAGATAATCGGAGTGTATATATTTTAAAGTCTTTTCAGATGTCTACAAAAGTAGAGTATGTCAGATATGTTTTACTACGTATTTTAATTAATTTTGTACACTAAGGTACAATTTTCTAATCATTAATTAATTTCTTTGATACAGCTATTCTTCGCGATCGATACTTTTCATTAACAGGCCACATTTCTTTCAGAGTTATATCGTCTACTTGCTTGCTGCAGAAAGCTTCGATATTATCATATAATTTTCGATTTGTGTAAGCAATTGTGCGATACTAAATTCAATATTATAAATGAAGGAAGTCTACCTTTAAGTGCGACGAAAAATACTTAATACTCTCGACTATTATTAACGATCTAGTAAAATTTTTATTTTTCAACAGATTCGATATAGATATCATCTTATAATTGTAAGAGTACTGCCTCGGCTACAGACTGTATCTTGGCTCCGATTTAATAAATGAGTTTTACTTGAAATCAAAAATCGACGTATCTTTTCTACGCTGATCGTCACTTTCAATCAAGCATTATAATTAACTGTTTCGCATGATTAATTTTTTGTTTTAAAAGCACATGTTTCAGACTTCCCCTTTTCAACTAAAAATTGTGTTATTTGCTATGTATCTGTGCTCTGAATTTTAATAAATAACTTGTTATACATATTAATCAATTCTGGAATAAAATTTTTAATTATGAAACAATTTAACCTTGTAAATTAAATGATATTGGCAATTAAAGTTTAATATTATAAATAGATAATTTGTTATCAAATTTCTTATATGTCCCTTTAAAAAAATTCATTTCCAGTTGAATAATGAGATGCTTAACACGGAAAATGAAAAGATTGCACTAGATGGTGGGCTTTCCTAATGTGAAATCTCGCTAAGAAAAAATTGCGCGTAGGTCAAAGCTCTCGAAAACCTCGTCTTTTTTGCTCGCTCTTTAACCGGAAGGAACGGTGACTGCTATCGACACCCGGCTCGTAATTAAATTAATTTCTGCATCTCTTCCTTCGCCGGTGCTGGCATCGGCGTGGAATAATGCAGTGGCGCGACTCGTTGCGACGTAGCGCGACGCGACCGGCGTCGACGACGGTACTCTCGACCGTACTCTCGCGCACACTTCTCATTTCCAATTTAAAAATAATGAGAATTTACGGGGAATAGGTGAGGCTGTCGCGCCCAGATACCCATTGACTATACCCAGCGTCTCGGCCGCGCGCGAAGTGGAATGAATTGAAAAAAATTCAATTTAGCCTCGGGTACACCGCATAGCCGCCAAGCCGCCACGACGCGACACGACGTGCGCCTTCTTTTCTCGCCATAAAGGGAACAATGGATCGAAATTTATTTATTCCAGCTATTTATATCCATCGCGCTTTTTCGAACGGATCGTTTACGAAGGATCGCGACACACCATGATTTCCATTATAAGACATTCTTTCTAAGTACGGAAATACAAATGTCACCTTTGGAGCGTCTCGAAAGACTGTAAAAGTCTCGACGATCGCTCTTCTCGTTCGTTACATACTGATCGATGCCACGAAAAGATCGAGAGCCGTTCTCGCACAGTGCGAATGACAATACGCGTCTGTGTCGGACACGACGTTGGCAACATGGTAAATAGGAAACGAATAAAGATCCGAGCGCGAAGCCGAAGCAGTCTGTCTCGGGCGCGCGCAATAAAATGTAAATTCGCGGCAATTCGCGCTTCGCCCCGATATCGGCACCCGGATGCCTCTCTTCCTCTCTCTCTCTCTCTCTCTCTCTCTCTCTCTCTCACCGCTCGTTCCGGAGATCTCCGTGTAACGGTGAGTAAGTGGCGAGTGTGCTGCGTTCGGAGCCCACGGGCCCCGCCGTCATTTGCATGAGTAACGGTGGAGAGCGCCTGGAACGGCGTGGCGCGCGGAGGCTAAGGGTAGCGCGAGACGAGTAATTTATAGTCAATAATTCTTGGCGAGGCAATTTTCGCATCGAGCGCGAACGTTTCCTTGAAACGACGACGGCAACGACGGCGACGACGACGATGGGGGAAGGCGAAACGGCGGGAAATGAGGCGGAATGTTAAATAGCCCGTCGTCTTTCAGGTAGCCCTAAAACTGCGCGTGGGAATCACTCTTTTCAGCGAAACGATATTCTACGTTTCATATCGAATGCTCGCATATGGTCTTGCCATTTTTACACTCGATTAAAGATCTCAATTGCAATTACAAATATTCTTTTAATTTATATTTCGTTCCGCAGCTTTTTTTTTTTAATTGTTACAAAAAAACAATGTCCCGCCTTTTGCTAATGCGTCTGCCCGTTTTCCTTTATTTGCCACACATGGCGCACCACTTACGTGCGGAAAGTTTAGCCGTGATGTTGAGGGAGGCGAAGATTACCCGGGCAACATAAACCGATACCGACGACATAAAGGTGCACGGCTGATATTAGATACCGAACCGCCCGCCTTAACCTTCCGCCTTCGAGTATCCCACCGAGAGCTATCAGACTGATAGAATATGTTCGACGTCGTCGACGACGTCGTCGTCGTCGTCGTCGTCGTCGCGACGCTGCGCGACCCCTCCTCTAGGATTCTATATCGGCCATATATGCGATCGCCATACACACGCTGCTTTATTTAGAGCGGCTTTTATCGCAGAACTTAACTTATATCTTGAATACGAGCCCCCTTCTCGTTTTCGTTATGCCAAAGTCCTTTCGTTTACGGCTTTTTTCATTTACCGGTATTTATCGGAAGGATAATAACAGTTCTCGCCATAGTAATCATTGTTATTTGATTCACGGTCGCGCTTCGAGAGCGACGCAATGCTGAATTAACGATTGGCGAGAATATAACAAATGAATGTACTCACCGAAAGATGCGTCGTTTCTGCCGCCTCGCCATCTCGTTGTCTTGCCGCCTTGTTCTATTATTTTGGGGATTGCTCATTCGTGTCTGCCGGTCGAATTAACATAACCACTCTTGTTTCGTACAGCACCACTGACACTTACTGCGCTCGCGATACAAGTAGGACGAGTAAATTGCACAAAATGTGTGTTGCTTTGCAAGGTGATTCCGACATTCGTTATGCGCGTCGCAATGAACTTCGTCGATCCTTTCGAAAAATTGTAAATATACGGTGACAACTTTGCAGAGATAAATTTGGGCGCGTCGCATCGTTTCATGCCGTGGGTGCCAACCGCGAAAAAATAGACAGAAGTGGGGATAAATAAGTACGCCACATTAAGTCCGCACTTATCACCATTAAGATGATGGATTACGAACTGACTTGACCAATCAGATTTATTGTCGCAACCTGTGACACTATTGAATAACCCTATGGTTTTTATCATGGACAACGCTGCATAATTTAGTGTTACAAAGTTGTCATACCTAACATTTTTATTAAATTGCAGTCTAACGGTCGCCGCGAACACTAGACAAAGCGATGAATGATCGCCGCGTTTTGCGCTGATTTATCGAGACGAGACGACGGCATCGACGGGAATCAAGTGACAAACTTTATTCTATTTATATGGCTGATTGTTAATTGTATTGATTTAACGTCGCTGCGTTAGGAATAGTCTTGTAATATCGTCTTGAGTGACGACCGGCGTCTTGAGCACTCTCACTTCGATGCGTAGTCACGAATTAGATATTAATACATACATAAAATGCATATTTTTCGTATTCTAAATCGCTTGAAACGCAAAAAAGTATTGAAACAAAGATCGACGAATAGATTTATTATATAAGCTGCCACAAAAAGTACGTTGAATATATGTAGAGTCATTTCAAGAGAGCGTTTCCGCGTCACGCCCTCTATTGCGGTTTAATATTAACATAAAGTAAGATTTTTCAAAATCAAGTTTGTCACCCTGCGCGGAGCTGTCGAGTGTATCGCGAAATGCTGAATCATTTCCATGTTTCGCGCCAATTTGTCAGTAAGTGTGCATAAGTGTTCGGAAGAGTCGCGCGAAATGGCGGACGAGTGTCGAATTGTGTTCATTAATCGTGTGATCGCGTAATCGGTCGCGTTTCTTCCAATCAATGTGTAAGTACGTGCAGTGCAGTGTGCAGTGTAGTGCCTATATGGATAGCCGTACGAAGAGGCATTATTGCAAGGATAGCCGTACGACGGGGTATTACTGTGTGGATAGCCGTACGAAGAGGCATGAATTCGACAGATATGGAGTGAGCTGCGAATGGGCAACGACGATGCATCGACCGGTGAGTGACTGATATTGTTTAAATCTCTGATATTATTTCTCGTGGATGGAACGAAATGCGCACATTGTATTGTCGCTTAGATAATAACTTATGCTACTTCGTAATTAAATATCAGCGTCTTCTTCGATGAATCTTGATTATTGCGCAAGAAAGATATTTCTCCCGACGCATCTTGAAAAGCCATTTATTTTCAATTTTCAAAGTTTGACATTCGCCAAATTAAAAATCATAATCACATTAATTTTGTAGACCAATTAATCAGTTGATTAATTGATTAGCCGCTCGATCAAAATAGGAATTAAAATATAAAAAAGTACCTACTTATATCTTGTATTAAGACCGTTAAAGTGAAGAGAATCGATTAATAATACTCGCAACGAATTTGTTTAGGCATTGTTTGAATAATAAGTCACGGATTTTCGGGCGATTAGGTTTAGTGAATCATTCCGTCAGGCTATTGTATCAGCCATGCCTTCGAAACAAAGCATGAAACCAACGCGGATTAAGCCTATTATTTTGCTGTTCATTATAACAATTACCTGTTGATGGCGCGGAGCGACGAGATGGAGTATACCGGCACGCAGGGAAACCGGCGAGAGAGTAATGATTGAAAATAACAGGAATCACATAAACGTACAATCATGCAGCGCCGGGGTATTCTGGGAGGGTCGTCGGAAATGATCACAGATTTCAGGGCAGTGCGATCACTCGGTTCGAAGACAAGCATTATGATAATGATGCTCATTATACGATCAGATTATAGATTATAGAATTATAAGCCTGTTATGATAAATCATTTGTCTTACTGTGGCCATTTTTCGTTACGCGATTTAACGGCCGTGCTCAACTGCTTACATGTTTGACTTTGTTAGTATAAAAACTTATTACATCATCTTTAAATTGCAAAAGATGACAAGTTGCAACTTGATATTTTTTTTTCTAATTCAGAGAGGATGTACGTTCGATTATTACTCATATTATTGCATCAATATCTGAATTTTTTTTTAGATTTCTAATAATTAAATATCAGCAACAAGTAATCAAATATAACGTTAGAAAACGTGTCATGATGACTGATTTTATCGAGTCTTTAGAAAGTGTTTAGTCCCTGCATTCTAAAAACTGCAAGTTGTCTATTTAGATCTATTTAATATATCAGAGTGATGATATTACACATTATTTTGTTTAATTGTTTAAACTGAGAGAAAGCTGAAAGTGGCTATTCGGTGTTTTTTTAGCGAACGTTTACCGTCTCCTGTCCGGTACCGCTATCTGTTAATTTTAGTTTGGAAACTACATTATCATTATTTATTTCCCTATCGGTAAATGATGCTACTATTTGGTGCATATCCGTATTATGTTACTTGTATATCAGTAATTTATCTCGGGAATGTGAAATTATTATTAATACAACGTAATTTCAAAAATGAATGCAGGTGCAAAAATAAATACAGAAAACGGCAGCCATTCTACAAAAATAGGCTTTTGCAAGCTTTTCTCTGGATCAGATTATTTTATTAACAGCAACTATATATAAAATAAAAATAATATGCAGTAAAAAAACAATTTATGAGAAATGATAGATATAATATTTTTTTATCAAACTGAGAGTATGTTTACTCAGATAAATACAAATATTCGAGCAAATGTATATTTTTTATTCACGGACTTTTCGAATTTCAATTTCTAATCTTTTAATTTTTTAATACCATTTTAACCTATTTATTATATGAAAAATGATTAAAACAAAGAACGTTGACATGTCGGTTTTGCTTTTACGGTTTTTGATAAGTACAACGGCTGTCAGACAGACAAATTGTTCTGTATTAATTGTGTCAGAAAAAGATTAATGAGGAAACATACATGTGAATACAACGTTGAGCGTTGGGTAAATTGCTGAGTCAGAGAAAGGATAATGCAATGCCATTTTATACCGAAGTCACGTATATATGTGTTTTGCGTCTTTCTCGACGATGTTAATACATGCGTTTGAAATTTTACAAACTTCTTGATTATTGATATCAACGACATCTCGTTAAACAGAGACATGGCAACAGAAATTAATTGTTAATATTACACAGTATTTTATCTTACATAAAATCTATTGATTTTAATTGCAAGCACATGATTTCCACGTTAATAATCGAGAAGAACTCGCTCGAACAGAAGGAAGTTGCTATATCAACGATGTCCGTTATAAAATAGCGGGGTATTGCGTCGACTATTGGGAATTGAATGGAATATCGCGCGGGGCGCGCACGGCAGACAAAGAAATCAAAGGACAGTTAGCTTCCCGGAGCGATCCTGTATGCTATCGGTTTTACTCTTCGCTGGCCGCTGTTGCAGCGGGCCAATTCTCACCCTAGCCGAGTCACCGAGGCTCTCCGCAGTCGTTATAGGTATTTGTACAACACAATTTATCTCGCCCCGGGGCCACGAGCCACAATGACGATCGCGCGACGGCTCCGTCAATTCGACTCGAAGGAAATATCCGCCGTAATAATCGATTACCGGCGAGTGAAAGGAAGAGAAATCATCGGGGTCGAGAAATTCGGCACGCATAACGCACGTTTACACACGTCGCGTAAATCGCTGTATCGCGGAAACGTCGAAACTTGGCCGCACGCTGCGTCATCGTGGGATTAGGGTAAACAATTACTCGGCAGCACACAAGATACAAAGGATATAGAATTGAATGAGTACATTAGCGATATTGCAGAGCTATTGACAAACAAAACTTTCAGAATATTTAATATCTAATCAAATAGTCGTGTCATAAAATTACGAATATATCAACAGAATATTTTCAACATTCGGAATACTGCGACGAATAAAATAATTGTATTATAGAATTATAAATCGCGTGATATTTTTCAAACGCATCATAACTCTCTGCGTCAAAATAACGACTTCTTTCGCGTCTCGACGATTTCTTTATTTATCGTCGACTGAAGATCTGATTTTCTCAATTCTGAGAACGTACGACCCCGGCGTACTGTCACCGTCGGCTGTCCGCGTCCACTTTCGTGTTTACATGTATCCGAAGATCATAAATAAGCCCGCGCGGAGCGCCGGACACGGTCGTTCGTGCACGGGAAAACTTGACTAATTGCGAGAAACCACCCTGACGTCGTTCGCTCGTTTCTTTCGTCGAGATATCCGCCGTGCTCGCAACCACGCCGCTTCTATTCCCACCTTTTACGGTCTTGTAATATACAGTTGGAGCACATCGCGCGGTTTTTCGTCGGCCGTTCATCATTCCGAGACTAATCTCTTCTACTTGGGCTGCGCTGACGCATCGTTTGTCTTGCCCTTAACATCGTAGGGTAGGTAGAGCCGCATAGTACAAAGTCAGGCTTGGGTTTGTCTGTCCCGCATCCAATCGCACGAACGGGAGCTTGTCCGCAATAACTCCCTGACCCTGACTCTAACTTTTTTACTCCGAATTCACGACCCACGTATAGCGTAAAAATGTGTTTCTTTGATTTTTATTACTTTCATTATTTGTGAAATAATACAACTCATAATCCGATCAATTTACTTTCGTATGTGCTGCTTTTGCGATAAATTTTTTTAATTAATTATGAAAGAAATGAATTAATCATACGTATCGCATGACACTATTTTCTAAATGGCTATCGTAAACTGTCGTGACTAATCGTCAACGCAAACAACCTCGTCCGCAAGACCGAGTCGATTTGTGGGGTAGTTTTCGAAGAAATCCGCCCGAGGGTCGAGTGGTGCGAAATGACGAAGCCTGCGGCCACGTAATCTCGTTTAGCGAAGGTAATTGCTTCCTAATCGCGCACTACCAATCAGCCTAACAGTGTTACGTTGTCTAATTCGTTTATGCGGCAATGTTGTATCGGCCTAACTCCCTCACGGTTCTTATCGAAAGGCCAGATTACTGGGGTTCTTTTACTCAACTCCCTTTCCACGATTCGCCCTAATTCTGCTTACGAGCTGTCGATCCGCAATCGCATCGTCGATGTGTATGTGTGTATATATACGGTCAGTTAATTGCTCTGTGTCTGTTTCTCATTGACCCTGTTCCGGCGATTTCCGCGATTGGGGATCTTAATCTTTCAAGAGAGAAAGTAATTAACCGTTAGTTATTAGTGCCGCGTTGAAAATATAATTTAATACATGTTTATTTAAGAATTCGTTTGATATCGCGTAAATAACGATAAATTGAAAAGTTTCTCTACAACAAAAATTTTTTTTAAGTAAAAATTATTAATAAATTTTTTAAGCAACTTACGATTATTATTTACATTTTATATATTTTCTATTTTTTTTTGCAAATTTTGAGAAAAAGCATAGAAAAAAGTAGACATTTTATTAAAACATCAAAAATTAGAAAAAAAGCAGCAATATAAATATATGTGCAAATCAGATTTTTTAAAGTAGCAATTTCTATGTAGATTAATAAGTGTAATTTATTATGGTGATCAATTCAGCAAGCGTTTAATCACAGCAAAAATTCAGAGATGTAATTTACTAACGGCTTTCTTTTGAAGAAAGAAACTTGACGTTCGCTTCCTTTCCCACAACTTAATTCATTCTGCAACTGGTGGGGTTTTTTTTTAAATATTAACAATAGATACCGGATAACGCGCGATAGATTTGAGTTGAATGCAATATTTTAAACTATATATGGCAGAAAAACAATGTATATCCATACATACGAAAGATAGTGTGAGGGACACGATGAAACCGGTTTGTCGACCGACGAACGGAAATCATTGAATTCACTGGCGCCAACTAATCCGTTTGAAGCACTCTTCACTAAGTGCCGCTGCTTTCTTTTACCGCCTTCGATGCCTTCCCTGATGCAAAACATTGCCGGAAGAGAGCTCTTGACTAGGTACTTGATGTGCAACTTTCTTGTCACGGCCAAGAACAGCAAGTTACATGCGACGCGAAGTAGCCGCGACTATTCGACGGGAAATAATAAACATTACGCACGTCTGATGTTATGAAAATTAATACGTAAAAAATGACGCATTTGATGTAATCTTTGTTGTTGTGGAAGGTCGTCTTCGACAAACAAAGGAAACTCTTGCCGGAAAAAAATATTTTTATTTAGTGATTATATAATTATTTTTTAATAATAAAGAAACGGTAATAAAAAAAGAGAAGACTTCGGTATTTTAAAAGAATAAAATGTAGCTCCCACGGGCCGAGACACAAACGCAATTCGAGACGAAAGTCTTTATCGAGTGCTATTTTTTTACGTTCGGTTTCGCGGTAAACGCGGTTCGATAAAAGCTAACACGACTGAGGTTGGCCTCTCATGAATACATTATCCTTTTCTAACAAGGTGAATAGGTCAAGTAGATGGAGTCGCGGCAGTCCGTCCATAAATCACTCGGAGGGCAAGCGAGATCATTCCACGTGCAAGCGCCATTCAATGCCGCGCGATTTCTCATGCATCTGCTTCCGCTTTTTGTTCCGACGTTGCGCGCCGACATCCTCCTCGCGTAGAAAGAGAGCGCGCCTCGTTCTTCTATTCAACTTATCGTAAAATTACCCTCGGTTCTGCGCTTTTTATTCGCTTCCACATTCGCGCGTCGCATGTCGTCATGTTGTCAGTGTCCGCGCGATGGAAAGACAATAATTACATACGACATGTAAATTTCGTGGAGATATCATTTTCATGAAATATTTTCATGAAATGTGGAAATTTAGATTCACTTGATATAACAACTGAGTTTTGCAATCTATAAACATGGCATCTGAATACTATTCAAGCAAAATTAATATAGACGTAATTTAAATGTTAAATTTTAAAAAGCGGTCTCTTTTCTTCTTTTTGCCGGACATTGCAATTTGGGGTTTTTTTACACATGACGTATTTCGCTTCATTTGCAGTGGTTAAAAAAATATCGGTATTTTATACCTTTTTTCATCGCAGTTTCGTTACAGTATTTATAATTAACCAAATAATCTACAGCAGTTACTTAATTTACAACTCGTGGGTAAAATTGTACTAGACTAAATTATACATCCTCCGGCTTTATTGAATAAAATAATTGACTTGAAATGGCCATGTCGTTACATCCGTTATTAACAAAAATCAATATGTGATGTCGCTCGAAAATAACCCAGCCAACAGCCATTCAAATTGAAATCTCTATTAAACGATTACGAAATAGCAGGCATAATGATGCACGATAATTGTAGTGAGACGCGCACGCAGCTATTATTATTTGTTCATTATTTAAATATGTAATACATAATTTCGATAATAAACACATATACACAGTTACAATTACACAGTTTAGGTTTAGCTATCGAACCGCGGGGGTGACGATAAATTGTCGACGGTTGTCATTGGGAAATCGATGCTTTTATAACGCGTTAGTTTGCTATATTGCGAATGATTTATTTTCATGTAGCAACGGTGATTAAGGTCGTGCTTACACTGGGAACGCGAATGCGCTAATATTTATTCGCCGTAATACGACAGAAGCGATGACGACCACAATTTGTAATTCTCACCGGAGCATTTGACTGAACATCATTAATTCACGCGGTCGGTTAAACGTTAGGCAAGTTTAATGTTTTGCACATAGTCATTTAATATTTTGTACATGACGAAACAATTCCGTGAAAAGATTAAATTTTATAATTAGACTTTGTACAGATATTCATTCGATTTCGAAATTTTAACCTTGAAAAATCATTAAGAATAATTTATTCGTAATTATTGAATATTCATGGTTTAAAAATTTATGAGAACAATAAAAATGAATTTTATATATCGTAATGTGCTGTATAGAATTAAAAAATATATATTTATATTATACACTTAATTATTTTTTTACAAGTTAACGAGTTTAAATCTTTATCTTTAATTATTTAATGTAAAATTTTAAATTTATTTTATAGATATTTTATGCTTACACATTCAATATAACGAGTATCTTAAATATAATTTACATATAGAATCATATTAAAAGAAAATATCATACATTAACTGTACCATGTAAAAATGTATTTAAAACAAAACAAAAGAGGAAACTGGAGAATTGGTAAAATTCTTTGCATGTTTGGATGCAGCGTGGCGTTAAAATATCGGTATTTTAGCATGGTATTAATAAATACGCAAATTGTTCTCTTTGTAAGAAATGAGTTTCTGTATTTCGGTCCTAAAAAGAATCAAACTCTTGAGTAACATAGAATAACAATAATAGAATAACGACGAGTTGACGTAGATAGTGACATTGGCGCTTGTGCCAAGTAAATACGAAGCTTTAACCACATGTAAAAATCAGAGATACACAGAAACAACGTAAGAATTTGAATCGTGAGCAAAGTTATCGACAATCTCAGCGTTTCGTCGATCATAACTACAACGTTGCATTATAATAAAGCTATTTACAAATTACAATATATCTCGTAATAATCGTCATTTTTGTCGTTCTTCAATGTATAATGTCATGTACACACGAAATTCCATGCGCTACGTAATATCGATAGTTACTAAAACTTTGGTTACGCAAAAATAGACGCAGATATATATTTATATATATATATATATGTATATATATATTTATATATGTATGTATATATGTATAACCGAACTATTCATCACCTCATTAGGGATTCGTTAGAGTTAGACGCCTATAAACAAATGTACAATAATTACAAGGGAAGTATGACGGATATAATTTATAAATAGTACATATATAGTGATTACATCATATCAGTAATTTCCCGTCGCAAAAACGGAGGATGCTTCGGTCGAAAATAATCAAAAAGAAACTGTCGCACATCGCGTACAGTTCTGATATAAACTCCAAACGAAATATTTGAAAAGTATCGCGTACAATATTTAGTCTTGCACGATTGGTTTAGCATTTCCATGATTAATATATACCTGAAATAATTAATTACGTAACATTTCCATTTCCATCGCCTTTCAGTTGAAATCCAAATTTAGTTTGAAAAGACTGACTACTCGCGATAATAATACTAATAACAGTATAAAGCATTCCATTATTCAATGAAAGACGAAATGTATTTTGAATGTAATTTGACGTTAACATAAAAAAAGAACACTGCCATGGCAAAGTTGATTTTGCAACATAAAATTATCACAATGGTTTACCTTTGCGTATAGCGTGCGATTAAATGAATGCTTGATAAAATATTTGTCTGTCCGATTACGATTACTTTCGTTCGAAATAAAATCCCCGTAATTGCGCGTTCGTTAACAAATTCTAGTCATGTACACACTCGCACACATATAATCTCTTTCGTGGAAGCGCAACGCATCGCATTCTCTCCCTCTCTTTCTCTCCCAACTTTCTCACTCGGAAATCACAGTTAAACATTGGTTTTTCGACGTTTGGTGTGGCACTCGTCATCCGATACTGAGAGGTACGTCGGACGCAGCAGATGGACAGAGAATGGGAAAAGCATCGAAATTTATTCGCGCGCGTCATGCAATTTTTAAATTAAAATCTTGTCAGCTCTGAGGAGTTTATTAATTTTACAGCGATGCATATTGAATTGCACATGTTCAAAAGTTCGGTCTCCTCCCGTGCACACTGACCTTTTAAAAAACAAGTCTTCATGATAAATTCGTTACTTCTCGTTCTAAACCGATACGTGGCTTGTCTTCAATGTTCTTATATCCGTATAAAAATCAATTCGTAGCTCGATGATAATTCATAATTAAGTATAATTATGCATAAATTTGAAAAATTTGTAATAATGTATAAATTGTCACGAACGTATTTATCATTCTTTGTTTCACAGATGTTACTTTTATGGTTAATCAAAATTATTTTTATACTGACATAAAAATTACGAATTTAATGACAATCAAAACTCCCATGCCTCGCAGTACATATTCGGGGTATTCTAATATTGAATATAATAAAATCATGAGTTTAAGCGACGAGTAGTGGATAAATGCGTCAAATAACTCTCAGCGAAGTGATGCACTAGACTTTTAATCCTCGAATAGCGAGACGTTTGTAATCGCACAAAATCCGGCGCTCGGATATTTAGACTTGGTGTAAAATTTGTTCTATTTTTAAATAAATTTTTATGTTTTTATGTTTGTTAAAATATTTATATACAAAAAAAATATAAAAACACTAATTTAAAAATTGCATGACGCGCAAAAAATAAATGCATAACAAATATTAAAACTATTGCAAAGAGTGAAAAAGATAGAACAATTTAAGACTTAATTTTAAGATTTAACTTTTAAAGATATAACAATTATTCATATTTCATGCATTTTATTTTATTTTTTTTAAATCACATTCTACTTTAAAAATCAACTGTAGTTGCAATTTATTTGCAACGTATTTGCTATCATTTTCGGAATTCAAAAAATATTTATATTATTCATTCAGTATTATTTATTGTGATATTTTTTCTTTTATTGCGATTTTTGAAACGTTCGTTTTTTTAATGAATATCTACGATTAGTATCTTTTGTATAACAATACTTTTTTTTTTAAGATTTGCATACTTAGCGCCTCTTGTTTACACTCTAATATAATTTTTTAAACAAATAAGATATTTTCAATTATTTATTAATATAGAAAACATACATTCATTTTTGTAATCTTTTTATAAAATTTAAAACATCTTATTCGTATCTTTTCAAGTGAGATAAATGACGGCAAATACAAGCAAAAGATTCTTGCCACTATTTATACATTAAGTATTTATTATCCAGCCGCCGCTAAGCGAGGATTAATCGTCTTGAATAAAATTCGTAGACAATATAATCTTGACAAAATTCAATTGCGAAGCTGACTGTGAGATGAGGGTACGTAGCCATGGCGCTATTTTATCTTACTGAGAATAATAAGAACAGGTGTACATTTTCGAGAGTTTACTTTTTTACTTTTTACTTTTTATATCGCACATAAGAACCGGCGAGTGAATATACTTATCGAGTGAATATCCTCAACTTAATGTTACTGAAGAAATTTGGATATATCCTTTTCTACCTGCGTCAACATCAAAAAAGTAGTGAGTCGCATGTTAGAATAAAGTGGAGGCTATCGTTTCGTGCGCACGTGTACTAAACATTTCAAATTCTACATTAAATTTTCAATGCAAGGTAAAAAAAGCTTAGCGTACAATTGGCGGAAGACGCATCATCGCGCAATAATCGAGATGAATAATCCCACCGCGCCGATATCTCGCTCAGACAACTTCGGATTCCTTCATAATCATGCGGCAGACTGCGCTGTGACAAGCGGATCACGTGCAGAACCGACACTCTCTCCACTTACGTACTCGAATTCTCGTAAAGAAATCACAGTTTAACCGGTCGACTCACCTCGCGAGCGCGTTTTAGCTGACAAAACGCTCGTTACCGAGAACTCATTGATGCATCCCGGAGGTGGCGCCTAGACGGGGCGCGTAGAGAGAATACGGCGTGAAATACGGCGGTAATCCGGCGGCTGCGTGCGGATGCGGAGGCGGCGGTGGCGGCGGCAGCGGCAGGCCCAGTGACGACAGCGACGGCGGTAATAGCGGCGACGGCTTTCCGTACGGGTGGTAGCGCGCGGTAGCGAGCGGACTCAAGGGTGGCGTGGGATAAGATCGGGCGAACAGGGGATGAGTCGGCAAGCCGACCGGCGGCAGCAGGGACAGCGTGGCGGCCGCGATCGCGGGATCGGTCGCACCGCCACCGCTCGTATGATTTCTCAAATGCTGCAACAATTCGTCCGACGTGGCGAATCTCTTGCCGCAGTACGCGGTGTCTCCGGCGATCCAGCTGCAAACGTAGGGTAGTTGCGTGCCAGCGAGCGCGGCAAGTTGCGCGTGCGCGAATACCGCACCAGCCGTGGTGAGCGGCCCATAAGGCGACACGCTGCCGGGCTTGTTGTGATCGCACTGAGCGCACCCGGCCGGACAGGAAGCCGTCGGCGTCGCGCTCGCGCCCGACGGCAATTTGCCATTGGTGAGGCTGGTGAGGTTGGCGACGGCAGCGGCGGTGCTCGCCGAGCTCGACAGTAGATGCGGGTTTAGTTGGCAGCCGGTGCAGTAGGGATCGCGGCATATCGGTACCAGGCTGTCCGCCGGTCCGCCGGTGGTTTTCAGTCGCGCGTAACCGAGATAAGGATTGGCGGCGACCAGGCCGTTCTTCAGGGCCGCGTGATGCTGCGACATGAGCGAGCTGGCCATCACGTCGATCGGCAGCTGGCCGGGCGCGTAGCTCAAATAGGCGGCGGTGGAGACCGGAAGACTGACACCCGGCTTGAACGTGCCCAATGGGAGGTCCTTGATAGATGGATCGGTCATCGCCAGCACGCCGGCGGGACTGTAGGCGGGTTTAATTTGTAACGAGGGACTACTGACGGCTGGCTGATTCGCGGCGGCCTCCATTGCCGCACTCGAGCACGGTATCGAGGGCGCCGAACCTCTGGAAGCTGGCGAGTCCCGCGCGATCTCGCCGTTCGGCGTCGCCGTTTTTCTCCCTTGCGGTGTGACTGCGCGCGTCGACGCGGCGCTCTGATTACTGGAGCATCTCTTGGCGGGTGTTCGGGAACGACCCGATGTCGAGTGACTCGACGCCGATCGCGGCTCGTCAGGCGTCGATGCTTTCTCGCGCGCTAGACACGATTCGTACGGCTTAAAACTTGTCTTCGTGGTTTCGATCGCCGGCGTTGGCGTCGTCACCGACACCGTCAGCACCGGCGACGACTTGTCGCGCGATTGCTCTGAAGTTTTCGATGATCTGTTACTCGACTTGTCCAAGGAACTTAGTAGCGACTTGTTGGACGGTGGATCCGCTCCTATCTGGCTGCACGTCTGGGCGAGCAACGCGAGCGGACTCTTCTTCGCATCTAACTGAAATCAGAATATGAGAAACATGAAGTGAAACTTGTGTTTATGTAAAAACACTTTGGTGAAATGTTATTTAAAAAAATAAGTCGAATTTTAAATATCATTAATCCTTGACATAAATATCGCATTATTTTTGCTTATATTTTCGATAATGGAGGTTCTTAAAAATGCTAATTGTGTAATTTGCAATTCTTAAGTAAAATAACACGCGAATGTATTTCTTAAATTCATTATCTCTTAAAATAGAATTAACGTCAGTGTTCAAGCACGATGTTCCTCAACATAATAAATTTCTCAGCTACATTTAATCGTCAATTCAACATAAATTGGCTTAACATTGATAGCGCAACTTTCTCATATTTATACGCACGATGTAACCAATTAATATTAACTGACTTGATAATAATTAATATTTGACGGTTTCAAGTTTAATCCGGTTCGGTCGACCTCTTTCCGAATACACAGTGATTTTCGATCAACAGCTACACCGCAGTATACGATCCGACAACTCTCGAAACTTGGCGCGTGACGCGTCTGGATGGAGGCAAGTCCAATTAATGACGCGCAAACCGCAATCTGTAGCGCCGCGTCACTCATTCGCCGAGTGAGAAGTGACGTGGATGAAGGGTGCGTCGGACAAACTTATTCGCCGGAATGCTTGCCCTTTTTATTTCATTATTGAGAGCTTTTTCACGCGAACAGATTTCTAGATTTTTTTTTTTTTCTGACGACCTGCCATATCAAAACTAAATTAATTTTACTAATAATACGATAAATCTGATGCAATCTCATTAGTCTTTACGTTATTTCGATAACGAGCCATTTTTCTCTTCGTTTATTATTATTTGCAAGTAATAATTTCCGTGTCGATAAACTGACTGTTTAATCCGAAGGAAGATTAATTGCACGCTATAATTCTTAAGAAGTTGAAATACAACGCGTCAGCGGTGCGGAACGTCGTTGATAATCGTCCGCGCATAATTCTTTTTGTCGAGAGCGAGACGTATCGGGGAGATGTAATCAATATGCGATTGCCCGATAGTGACGTCATTAGCGCGTAAGTGCGGGAATTTAATATCGGCGCCTTCGCGCGACTCGAAATGGTCACGTTGATGCACTCGGTATAATTAACGTATAGAGGAGCGATATTTCTCGTCGACTGATACGTCCACCGAACAGATGTTCCGCCGTAATTAAAATGCAACGATCATGCAACACTAACCCGCCGCTCACGGTCGGTCGTACTAATGGCGCGACGCCGACAGATATTAATGCCGTGAATTGCAACAGGCCATTACGGCAACGCAAAGCTATATATTAATTGCGCTCGTGAAAGTTAACGGGAACGTTCGAACGTAATATTTTAATCTGCTAATGCCGCCCGCCGGCTTTTAATCGTCGCGACTAATTTATACCCTTTATGACGAACGCCTTTCCTTTGACGGCGCGCAGCACATTGTACGAAATCTTTTGTATTCTTTTTATGTACGCGGTTATTTTCTAGCCATAAATATTTTTTTCAATTTGAAAGAAATATATTGCGAGGAAGTGAGGTTTCCACAGGGTTCGTAGAATTTTCCCAGAGCGAAAATAGAGTCGCATACAGAAGATGAGAAATTATGTTTTTGTTTGAGATAGAGAAAACATATTGTGCGTAGTGTCTAGCGCGGCAAGGACGCATAGCTGGTCGAAGTTTTCATTTTCTCGCAGCAAATAGCTCAACAATTAATTGTCTGCATGATGAAATACGTTATTTCGAATGTAATAGAGAAATTTTATCGCTAAACGTAAGCGCATCAAACATTATTAATATATTCGACAGTATCGCGGTATCGCAGAGTCGATCGAAACGCATTATTCCACTCGCTTTTTCATCTCATCTCGCGCGCGCAACAATCAGCATTGTATTACCGAATCACGTTTTGATTTATGACACGCGTAAATCAAACGTGACGCATACCGAGACTTTTGCCAACACTCGCTGTCCCCAAAATAGTTTACAGGAGTCCGGGAGCATAAAACGCGGCGCGCGTGTTTCCGTCGGGATTAACGAAACGACGACAGGCGACGTTAATGAGCCGTTGGGAAAGATATTTTCAAGCGAGACTTATGCATGCGCGACATTTCGAATGTGTTACCAGTCGCATTTACGTTAATAATATAAATGTAGCATGGATATTCGTAACATAACATTAACGAGTATACATTAAAATAAAATCTCTTTTAATCGTTCTTTCGATTTTTCGTACTGTTACTTTAGTTTTTGACATCTCTAAAATGTAAAAAAAATAAAAACTAAATAAGATTCTTTATTTTTGTTTAAAAACTATTGTAAATTTATATGCAAGCATTCATCTATAACGTATAGAATCGTCTCACTTTAATGCGCGAAACGAATATTCCGCAAAAACTGCGCTTGCATTGTTTTCTCGAAATGCACAAACGACCGTGAAAGAGTAATGTTTTATTCGCACGTGTTTAATAATTTTACCGCGTGCTAAAACGACAGTTGTTAAAATATCGCTCGATAAATACGAAGGTTTGAAGTATTCCAAGATGCATATCTCCGGCAAATTGTTGAATCGCGATGTAAACAAGGAAATTACGGAATATAAATAGTAGGTTCCGCAAATAGCGGCGTAGGAAGAGGAGAGAAAAGCAGATAACGCGAGACTAACCGTTGTAGGTAGCGGCGTGAGGTATTCAGGACGGAGATACTGATTCGCGCTGGACGTCAGCATCTTTCGCGGTCGATCTTCGCTCGCACCGTCGTTTGTACTCGGCGAAAAAAAACACCACTTCTCTACCACACTCCTCGGCTCATCGGCGGCGCCGATTCCCGGGATCCGCCGCACTTTTTCTTTCTTATATCCGTCGCGGCAATGAAACAATGGTATCACTCGCGAACGGAGCCATGCACGAGGCCTGGTGGCCTTCGGCGATGAACGGCACTTGCTCGCGTGCGCACGATACACGCGTTTCCTTTGATCTCAAAGCACCAAACCAGGAAGGGGATAAAGCACGTCGAAGCACACTGCGCCAATGAGTATCCGCTTTTCGGCATGCGATAGAAAGAGGAAAAAAAAAGACTCGCGCGATACAAACGTACCGTGCACAATACAATATTAGAGAAGTCGACGCGGTGAGCCTCGACTCACAACTGAAGAACCGCTCTCGGAGCGGTCGACGTGGAGCGCGGTTGCCCTTCTCGTCGCTCGACCCTCACCATTCCATCGTTCAGCTGACTTCCCCCACTATACACCGCAGATTCGCTCCCCCGGGGAGCATCATCCCTTCTTCGCGTCTCCGCGACAACATCGTAGGGTATCCCCCCCTCCCTCCCCTCGACGCCGCCGTCGTCCCCTCGCCACCCCTCTTCCACAGACACGGTGGACGATGGTGTATCGCGACTACGACGCGCGGAACGACACGAAACACCACGAGCGGCAGCGACTAACCAATGCGGGCGAAAGAGGCGAACGCAAAGGTGACGGCGACGGCGACGGCGGCAACGGCGGCGGCCGTAGCGACACGGTGGTCGTTGTCGGTTCGCGCTACGCCGACACTTTTGCCGGGTGCGAGCGACCCGGCCAACGACGTGTCAACTGGCGCGGGGTGCCCTCTCTCGTGACTCCCACCACGATTCCGCACCGCTGAGGGAGAGTTCTCGTGTGTACCACTAGTCCGCACTGTTACCACCTATGTTCGGACTGGCATCGTGGCGTTGTTAAAGAGGTATGGATGCCATCGTACAACACGCCCGACACCTGGCACGATCTCACGATACGCGGCGCGCGCGCGAGTGTGCAAAATGATAAGACTTCGCCGTGAAATTGTTGAATTCGTAATCGCCAAATTGTACACGACGAATTGATCCGTTCTTGGGGAATTGCGCACTTGGCTTACGTACAAACTTACGCGTCAAGAAGCTCGATTATTTATTTGCGAAAATGCAAAGTAGCGATTTACATGTATCCAGAGAGATTGTTAGACTTTCTTAGATTACGATAATTTATGCCTGTCGTTGCGCATATTTTTGGCTATACATTTCTTTGCGAATTTGATTTCAGTTTTTCTCTAGCAATAGAAGTCTGTATTGATTGAATAAAGCAAATTTAAACGAAGAGAAATGGCTACTTATCGCACTACAAGGCGAACGTTTTATTTCAACATCGAATCCTAGTGCGTAAAGCAATAAAGTATCGAACAATATAATATACGAGTAAGTAGAGCGTGAAGAAGTATAACGATCGCCTTATGCACTTAAACGCAGCCTTTGTTCGCGCGTTTACGGCGATGCACTCACGCTTGAGATCCAATATACGCTAGCGTCACCGAGGCGCGTTATAAAGCTCTATCCGCAATAAAAAGCTGGCCGAACAGGTATAAATTGTATAGAAGGTGCCCCTACTATTTCTTTAGCACGGCTGTAAACGTGCGAAGGGTACTAAACGGCGAGAATAGATTCGTGATTGTCCCTGGTGGAGGTCGTCGATGAGTAATTAAGTAGCACAAATCCGTGAGTCCTGTCTTGCCCGAATAGACTGTGTATAATAAAAATAGTATTGCAGCTTTATGGCAGCTATACAAAAAATAATTACGCTTTACTGCCTCGTGCTTTACGCCACTGCTTTGAACCTCGCCGCGCGTCGCTGGCGAACAAAAAACATTTCGGGCTAAAAGCGTCATCTTACTCGGACGGACCATTTTTCAATGCTGTCACTTAACCCACTCGAGTAACACGCTGTTTCGACAAGGAACAGCAATATCGTTTGCATATTCACCGCAAAGAATAAGACAGAGACGAAAGACAAAGAAGGACAGATTGCTTTGTATTTGTTCAGAGGTTTTTCGAAATCCAAATTATTGCCTCAGCTTCCGAGGAAAAAAAAAAAATACTGCCTCTCGTATACTTGTGAGACGTTCATTCGTTTATGTATGCAAAATGTTCCACTTTAGCGTCTCATTGAAATGGCTTTTTATATTCGCGACACGCAGGCGAGATTTAATGCCGAAATAAATTTAATGCGAAAACGTTTAAAACGCTTGCGCGGCACGGGGTCTAATGCATATTGTAACAATTAATGAATTCGACTAAAATGGATTGAAGTGGTAATGGCAGCGGTGTATGTTGGCGGATACGGATGCGTTAGCGATGCATCGAAATGCATATCAATTGTTTCATGGAAATTCGAGTGTCAATTCCTCTCATTACTATTCGCAAAATTATAGGATTGTGTTGCGTGTACCATGATTGTGTTGCATGTGCCACGCAGGAAAGGTGATTTACGTAATTCGTATTGATTATTGAATCGTACGTTATCATGTAACCTGATTTAATTCGGCATTTTAATTAAACACTCTAAGAGAAGACTATTCGCGCGATGTTAACATGGCACTTTACGACAGATACATGGACGTGAAACCAAACTAGTAAATATAGTTTTGGTTTGAAAAATTTTGATTGAGAATCGTGAACTCCGGCAAACAAATCACGTGGTCGGAAGTAAAACCTTTAATTGATAATTGATCAATCAAAGAGTTCTAATTGAATTTGATACACGCCAAACCGCAATGCGACATCACAGATATGCAACAATTTCGTGGCATGCCGCAAATTTTCTAAATAAAGGTATAATACGTCGAAATTTCTCGTGATTCGATTCCCTCTGATTAACAAATATTATTCTCGATAAAACTACAGCTGGAAAATGTATATGCTTAATTAATAATTCTGCTATTTTCATTAATAACAATCTAATAGAAGCAGACATGCCGTCATTTTTCTCTTCAACGTAAAATTGTAACGTGTAAATTGACGGAAATATTTCAACAGCGTTGGCACGGAATGTGCGTATACGTGTGATCGTAATGTCGTTAAATCGCAATAAATTTGCGGTGTAAGCGCGCGAATATCGCCAAGTCCGTAATTCCCCGAAAGCAATTGCTACGCGCAAGAAATGTTAGATTACTTGTTACTCATTTCGACTCGTTACCCTCCTTCAACGACCCGTCGTCGTCATCGTCGTCGTCGGCTCTGGTCTGATGTCGCAGATAATACAAGACACTCTGCCAGGCTCCTTCAGTCGGCGCCACATAAACACGTCGTCCTCGTCTGTTGAACCGGGAGGGGAAGAGACTCGGATAATTATACACCGCTCTCATCTCTCACCAAAGCGTATCCTCTAACTAGCGCTAATAACGCCGCTAATGCTCTTCCGTGGAAACTGTTCGTATCTAACAACCGTCCGGAACGTCGCCCCGGCAGGAAGATAAGATAGAAATAGCGCCGGGATATTGTCCCGGGTTTCTTTCAGATGGGAAAACATCGACCGAGAATTATGCAATACGTGTCTATTAGCGAACCATTAGCCGGTTAACTCCTTACAAACCGTTTCAGATTAAATAAGATCCGTAAGAAAATTCTCAGAACATTTATTTACTCGGTCAACGCATTTTTTCACGTTCTTTTTCTTTTTCAAAGAATAGATATTAGCAGTCTTTATTATCTTCTGACACTCTGATAAACTTGTTAAATTTAATTAAAATATTTTCGCGAAAAAAAATACTTTGATAATGTATGTCGTAATCTGTTTCGATGTTTATTTTAATTATCTCCTCAATTTTGCAATGTATGATCGTGCTGGGTCATCGAAAAACTTTTTTGTGCCACGTTAAGTACGAATTATTAAATGATCAAAATATTATTTAACGCGCAAATGAAACAAACATTGTTTCCGCTTGCAATGACATGTGTTCGCGTAGATTAATATAACGGGTGATTAACACGCACGTATAAAAGTGCCTTTTTTATATAAGCCATTTGTGCGTGCGTTATGTGTGTGTGTGTGTGTGTGTGTGTATGTGTGCGTGTCTATATAACAATTTATGTGATTCCAGAACATTAATGTACATCAACTTGACGCATAAACGAGCAAACATTTACAAACTCGTAGTTGCGACAGAATGATAAATGATTAACATGAATATTGACTATGAAGCAGCGACGTTGCATTATGAGCCGGAACAAATCATGAAACATGATGCATGGATTGGAGATTGTCATGTTACTTATAATAGTGAAACGTCAGTAGTATACACTTTCTTGATCGCAACAGAGATTACGTGTGACGTATGGAAATAAACAATTTTAATTTGTTTTATGCAATTTATATGAAATTTGTACAAAATTGATTAATTGGTGTAATTATTAGAATTGAATGTAGATGGCTTTTCTCTTTCTCTCTTCACACAGTTTGTGAAATTTCCATAGAACAAAATATTTGCGGGTTAATTTAGACAACAGAAATTTAAAATATAATATATATCTAAATTTTTTAATCTATCAAAGTTAATGAACAGTTTATCGGCGATGATAGATTGACTCTAAAACACTTTAAATAATATATGATTTATCTGACCCGCTTACAAACGGTAAAGAGCTATATATTAAAAACTGAAGATATTTTACGACAATTACGCTCGATGCTTCGGTATGATACTTCTATCATATATTTCATTTTTCTTCCCTGAAATGACGTAAACAGGATTTTGCATGACGTTCATACTTGAAAGCTATAGTTAAGGCGTACTGCACATGGTTTGTGCGAACATTATCGTTATCGGTCTTCGGTAATAACAGGCTGCAACGCGTTGCGCGCAATTACGTGAACGATTTATAGGTTTTCGTCACGCAGTTCTACTTCCTTCGACTTTTTAATGAGCGTGCCAGGCTTCTGAAATTATTCTGACGGGAAGTTTCCATTATTTTCCATCATCTCGCTATGAATCATGTTAATTACGCCTAGGAGCAACACCTATCGCGGCCATGCATTGGAAAATTGTGAATAATTGTGTTAAATTGCTTTTCTTACGCTGTTAATGCGTTTCTGTTATATACTATTCTTTCTCTCTTTTTACCTCTCTCTCTTCTCAAGATTTTTCGCACTTTTTTAACGTCAACCACAAATCCGACGTCAGAAATAGTGTCTTGTTCGCGCGACGCTTCGAGCTGACTTCGCTAGTCCGTGATTCCTCGCGCGTCATCGTGTCTCTCACCGAGCTACTCGGCGACGGATAATCACCCTCCGCTCACCGCACATCGATCAGGCGAAGCGTAAACACGATTAGTATAACGCACGGGTAATGAACTAATCCCGCCACGTCGTCGACGAGCACGAACGCGTTCGGAACGCGCGCGCGGTGCGGCGGACGCGACGCGCCCGATCGACGACGTTCGCGTGACGTCGCTGACGTTTCCCCTCCTCTTCACCGTCCGCCATCTCTCTCTCTCTTTCTCTCTCTC